TGTCAGCTGAAGGATACAATAGGGCCAATTAGGAAAAATAATATAATTTACCAAATACCATGTAATGACTGTGAGGTCAATTACATAGGTCAAACTAGTAGATGGGGGTCAACTAGCTTATTAGAAAATAAAAATTAGCTAAACCTAGAATAATTGACCCTGCTAAGTTATATATCCTAGAGAAAAGCTCAGCCATCGCATTGCATTCATCTGCGTGTGATGACAAAATAGGTTTGGACAGAGTGAGAGTATTAAAATGTAATATAGTTAGGTGGAGAGAGAGGTTAATCTCTGAAGCTTTGGTTATCGATTCAATACGGCACAAGTGCATCGAAATGTCTCAGCGCCTATACAGGAGATGTGGAAAGTGACAACAAACAATAAAGGGAAGTTGTAAAGACAGAAAGAGTATATATATATATATAACAAATTTTGAAACCGTGTGACTTAAGTGGTATGATTATAAGCAATAAATTGTGCTCGAAACTTCATCCAGTTGTTAATATTGCATCGCTGTGTGACATTTAAAATAAACTTATCTAACATAGTATTATATTTGTGCTCTGTTAATCTTATTGAATCGATGTTATCTAGAATATTAACGCTAATAATGACAATAACTGTAGAACTTGACAAAGTAGTTATCGGAAAGAATATTCTTTGTTCATCAATCAGCCTCCTGAAATTTATATTATACTGGACATCACTGATCAATTATCATTTTACTGGAATAATCTGATGCATTCAACACAAGTGATTCCAGGAATAGTGTTTGACTAGTCATCAAACATGCGTCGGTGGCATAGCGGTTAGGACGCTCGCCGATCATGCATATGGTACGGGGTTCGATCCACGGCCAACGCACTCCTTTACCTCTCTAAGCCAGAAATAATGCTGGTCAAGAGGAAAGGTTGGGCATGAGGCTAGCAACCCCATCCTGTAAAAATAAACACTGTTACAGAAACTTCAAGCCACTATCTTGAAGCCCTATGTTCCACCGGGGAACGTGAAGTGAAAAAAAAAATAGTCATCAAACAATCGCCTTCGTAATAACCCCATATTCAAGTGCACATCCCTCCAATATTGACTGATGTTAAAGCGTATCTTTAAATTCACTAATTTGTAGCAGCAAATGTTGTTTGGCAGTCATTTCTAGAAAGCAGACTTCATAGTTGAACATATAGGATTTCATCTTTTATTGTTTAATTTTTTTTTAATTTTTGATTACAGCTTGATGCCACACCGTATTTTCAGTACAAGTATGAAATTTTCAGCATGGATATCGGTAGCCCAAATTTCACAGGCCGACCACAGATATCGGGTGTGCGTTGGCAGGGGATCGAGCCCCGGACCATGTGCATGGTCGGCGAGAGTCCTAACCACTGTGCCACCGACGCACATGTTAGTGTTTGTAGCTTCTATTGCATCAGAAATGCTTTATCTTTACTCATATCCTAGGGGATATGGCATATCACCGCCCCCGATATTCCATTTTTCGTTCTCACTTTGTTTTAAAATATAATAAGAATAGTAATTCATTTTTGAATTAAATTCAACTACCACTTCATTTAGTGGTATGTATAGGCTAATTAACTGAATGAGTTGTAATCACATCATAGTAATCTCCAATCTGCCGGTACATTTATCCCTAAAAATATGTATATTTTGAGTTCGACTAATTCAACTTCATTCGTAAACAAAAATAGAAGTATTCAGTAAGTAAGTAAGCAAATAAGTAAGCAGGTAAATAAGCCAGTAATGAAATAAAATAATTACAGGTTAAATCTAAATATCAAATTACATATTAATCTCTAATAATATGAATGATTTTCTCCTGTAATAATTATAAATTGTTAACATGTTAACTGATACCATAAATGATTAGTAGGGGAATGTAGGTTGTAGGGAATAAATCTGATAGATGATGAAATAGCACAAATGAATTTAGATCCAATTTTTTTTGTCAACTAAGCGAATTAATAGAAATTTAGAAAAAACAAAACAAGGAGTAAATGATTATATTTCCTTATTTCGACATGAGGTTGATATTACTTTCTATTAATCATTAGGGATATATATATATATCGTTTCAAAGTATATCGTTGTGATTACAGCTTGATTCCACACCGTATTTTAGTACAAGTATGAAATTTTCAGCATGTGATGTCGGTAGCCCAAATTTGCAGGCCAAACATTGATATCAGGTGTGCGTCGGCAGGGGATCGAGCCCCGGACCATATGCATGGTCGGTGAGAGTCCTAATCGCTGTGCCACCGACGCACAGATATCCATGATGAACACTGTCAAACATAATCCTTGCTACATTGATTGATCACTAGGGTGGATCCAGTGTTATGCTAGTCTAGCTCTTGGCGTTGCTACTGACTGGATTCTATCAGTCACATTGGCAATGTGGTTAGTTAACCAGATGATTCGCCGCATTACAAACGGGACTGACAGAATTCAGTCTGAAACAACACCAAGGACTAGACTAGCAATAACATTGGTTACTCCTTAGTGATCAATCGGTGTGTCCATTACATCCCTACAGGAGGTAAGTTGTGAGTCCGAATAGCTCAACGGTAACGTCTCTGACTGCAACAATGAATGACACAGGTTCGAGTTTCAGAGGGTTTGTAGATACACCTTGCTGATGAGTGCCAGTAAACCCGAAATGTAGGTCAGACGGGGCTTTTTGTCGACTTCTTTCAAATGTCAAACATAATCTTCATTATAGGTTGGCTGCTTATGCTTCTTTACCACTTGGTAGACTAAGCTCTCTACCAAATGTTTTTCCTGTCATCAAAATCACTATTATGAAACTTGTAATCTAAAGAAATCAGAAGGATTATGCATTATTGTCTGACTAAATACATTTGTAAACTCATGACTTAACTGGTCATTAACACCACGTCCAAGGACTAATCACTTTATTGACATCTGTCTTTTGATAACGTTGTAGGCTTTCTATTCTGCTTCTAACTCTGTCCGTTGGAACTGAAGCTCTTAGACGTAGATATTTAGGAATGATTTCATTTTTTTAAGCATCGAATGTTGAAAATACGATGATTTTCATATCTTGCTTCAGTTTATGAAAGTCGAGTGAAACTGTTGATAAGTTTCCGTACAGGAAGACCATAAGTCATATTAATATATGTGTACAACTTGGGCACTATGGTAGTAAGTAATTCCATATTAGATTGTTTATAGGAAGCATGACACAGTGAAACAGTATTATTTACTGGATGACGTTTCAAACAAAATTTATTGTTCATAATCATATCAATTGGAATCACACGACTTTGAAACTTGAGTTTTATAGTTTCCTTTGTCCTCTCCTATTTGTCGTAGAGGTAGTAGTATTTTTCAGATGTCCGGGTGGACAGATGTTGAATCATTCCTATGCCTCCAACCTGTGACATTAGATTTTAAAACTGTCATCCTATTCCATCCAATTGTGTGGTTGTGTGTAACTGCATGTAGTGCTATAGCTGAACTATTCTCTAGATTTCTTATCTTATTTGGATCAACCAATCTAGATTTTGCTAAGTTTTTATGTTCAGCTAGTCTGACTGTCCCTGTTCTACTAGTTTGACCTATGTATTTGACCTGACAATCATTCCAGCAGGATATTAGATAAATTAAATTGTTTTGTTTTCAAGGCTCTACAGGATCCTTTAGCCGACAAAGCTTGTTTCTAATTGAGTTTGTGGTTGGTTTCAATGCCACTTTTATTCCTGCCTTATTAAGAATTCTGAATAAAGTTTCCGAGGTTCCTTCCTTGTATGGAATTACTACTGATGATTTAGATTCCTTATTGTTGGTGTTGTCTTGCGCATATTTGACATGCATGTCGTCATTAATAGTATTATTATTATCATTATCACTACTATCATTATTTATTTTATTGTTACATTTTCCTACACACTCCCTGATTAATTTATCTGGATAATTATTAAGTTTCAAAGCTTCTCTTATATGCCTCACTTCCTGTCTTAGATCTTCCTTGGTACCAATTAATTTTTCTTCCCTATTACTTAAACATGTCACCAATTCTATTTATACTGGCACAGGGTAGGATGATAGGAAATCCAAATATCAGTTTGAATGTGTGGCTGTCCTATAAACACTAGTGTTTAACTTCCCATCTTATTTCCTTTTTATGCCAGAATCTAACATTGGAAGCTTTCCTTCCTGAATTTCCAATTCATCATCCAGTAAAAAATGCTGTTTCACTGTGTGGAATTACATACTACCACAGTGCCCAAGGGATAAGCTCGTATTTTGACTAATTCACTGGAACTTCTTTGTGATAAAAGTTGCCTAGTGTTCACTAACCTACTGGCAAACAACACGTGTGGTGGAATGATTGATTACCGACTGATTTGTAGATAGAAATATTTATTATTCTTATTATTATAATTCTTGTATTCATTTAGAACTCTTACGTAATTTCGTATTCTCTACTTTGTTCCTATGTGTATCCTGAGTCAAACTCAATCATCAAACTATTCATATTATTACATAACTTCTTTTTAACAACTGTTTATGACAATTTTGTTATTACCCCAAATTTCATTAACACCTAATTTTCTTGACTGATTTTGTATTACGTAACTTCAATTACTAATGTTCACCTGTTTAGTTAAAATAACCATAACCAATTGTGCTTTTGTTTGACAAATTTAATGTACACACACATACAAAACAACCATATATATATATACGGGATTGTACAGCTAAGAAAATGAATTCGCCGAAAAGAGACTCTTCGCTGAACTACGTGTTTTGTTTTCATTAATGCCTGGATGGGGATTATCCATGAATTTATTATTTTCTCGATTATTCTAAATATTTTCAGATACAATCACTGTTTATTTCGCTACACAATGTAGTATACAGAAATGATGTTAAATAAACGATGTGAAGTTGATTTTAACCAGTTAGTTTTAAAGAATACAATATTATTATACAGATTTATATGAGAAATTGTGGCATACTTACCTGAAAAGACTCCCTCTAGAAAATGTACGTCTATATAGACATGTAAAACATAAAATTAGAGACAAAAAATAGGCAAAAGTCAATATAATTCTGATAAACCTGAGAGTTTTCTGAAAGAAAATTAATAAAATAGCTATTTTTTAAAAGTGAATATTACAAAATGTTTTGAAATAACTTTTTCAGTTAGTCATTGGTAGGAAACATTATCAGTTACAGCTTATCGGTGATTTTCATTTGACAAGAAACCTAGGTTTAGTTAGATAGTAGATAGTAGAAGATTTTTGAAGGGTTGTGAGTATATTCCTTAGATGAGACTAAAAAGTTTAGAGAAATCATTAAAATTCTTCCTTTAGAAATACGAAAAGCGTACTGCCTATGATTCCCAAACTAGGATAAAACAGCTGTCCAGCACTCCCTGGTAAACAGTGGTTCTGTAACTGATATCAATCAGTGATCAACTTGAAAAATCAAAACTAACTCTGACAAACCAACTAAAGGAAATTAATCTGATGCTCTCTAGTGACTTGCTACAGGATTGAGTTTCCTGGAGTTCTAGTGAGAAGTCGTGACCAGTGAGGTCCATCCAGTCACGTGTGAGGATGGATGTTCCACCGACGACATCAGTTGGGGTCGCGCTAAATCACGAATTACTAGAAGTTAGAATTTACGACCCATAAAATCGGGTCCTAGTGGCTGAATATACGAGCTTGCCTTATAACCGCAAGGTCCTGGGTTTGAACCCCAGTGGGTGCGTACTGCCTAGGATGAAACATCTGTCCAGTGGTGGATTTTAAATGGTTCTCTAACTGATATCAATGCGTGATCAAATCGTAGAAGCCTTAGTTTCAGAGGCCACTAGCTGTAACTCTCCTACAACCCAGGATTTCCTTCTGCACTCAATTATTATCCCATTTTATAAAACTGTTTTGCCATTGAAAGGACTAAATACACAATGTATATGTATATGTGAAAGTGTGCGAAACTGGTACAGCTGTAGAATCCTCACCAACCATGCACGTGGCTCAGGGTTCTAATCCCTACAGGAGTACACTTTTACCTCCCTTAGCCGGGTGTAAACCCGACAAAGAAGGAACTTTGGGCGCGAGCTAGCAACTCCATCTTGTAAGAAGACATCAATGAAAATGAAAATTCAAAGCTCAAGCTTGAAGCCTTAAGTTCTACTGGGAAAGTATGGAAATGAGGGAAAATGTTAGGCGAAAGTCTCACATTGATTTTTAATGATGTGCTTTTTCTAATCAGTCTGTGAATGTGAAACAGTCTTGTCCTTGCATAAAACTCAGTTATGTGTACATCCAGTATAACAGGTGGTCATGCTGTAGACAAGCTAACTACCATATTAACAACTTTGCAGTTTAATATAGTAACTATGATTGGTTCATCTACGTCAGTTACTTGGATTTCATCTTCTTATTTTCTATACTTTTCGGCAATATTAAACTGACAATCATTGTTTGTGAATGCCATAGTCACCACCTCAAAAAATTTTGTATTATTCAGGATTACTCACACTACCACCACAAACACTGCATTAGACCTTGGTAGACTTTGGTACTTTTTCGCATTCATAATTATTTTGTGTTTATCCTGTTTTTTCTGGGTTTTTTTTTGGTTTTTTTTTGCTGTTGGTGTCTTCAGATTTACTTTTTTTTTGTTTGTTTGTTTAATACTTATTTTAAACGTCGGTAAAATTAGATGCAAATATTGTAGATATGTGCTGAAAATTCCACACTGTACCACTAGTACTGTTTCTGGAATAAAGCAAATTATTATTATTATCTTGTGCACTTTAAATGGTGAGTCAGTAAGGTTCAGCTCCACTAAATGGTACGGCTATAACCTTAGGTACGATGATACCAATGCACTCTGAAGTGAAAAGTTAGAAAGCTTCATATTTTCAAATCACAGTCCTTATAAGTAGAAGCTAAAAGGATTTCAATTACTACAGTGTAAGCAAGGAATTTTAAATTAATCATTTACACAAACCATAACTTTGAATTATCGTTTGCAAATTATATTAGAATGTTTTAGGAATCCATATCAATGATATTTTGATAACATTATGTACATTTTCGGAATCTAATATTTTCTAAGGGGAAATTGCTTTCGTTATGTATACTTCAGTGGTTCGATTATCGTGCTTCTTGAACTGAAACTGAACTGATTTATTCATTCCTTTGCATTCCAAATGCAAGATAGGGCTTCAGGGTTCAGCTATGAAGTTTCAGTGACGATGGTGTTATTTTCAAGAGGTGGGAGTTCTAACCTCCTAATTAGCCTTTACTCTTTTCCAGGCTTATAATGGGCTAGCCTGTTAGGGAGTGCGTCAACCTGAAATCCAACCCCGAACCGCATGTATGGTTGGCGAGTATTCAACTACTGAATCACTGACGCAGAGACCAACATTTCTGCAGTAAAGCTACCTAAGTTCATAGTTGGAGTCATAATAATTACAAAAAACAACTTTATACGTCTTTAAAAAACTTGATTTTACAAAATAATCACTTGTCTATTTTACCATATATGTACCTGAGGATTGGAAAAGCTATGAAACCACTAGATTTCTAAGAAATTCACGATATATTATTATTTGTTATTATTCTCTTGGGTTCCGAGTGCAACATAGGACTTCAACAATGCATCGCCACTTTCTTCTATTTTCTGCCGTCCTCTCATCTCCTCCAACTCGTACGACCTTCCCCATGTCACAATCACACTGGCGACCCAATCGTCATTTCCCATTGGGATTCTACTCGAGTCACGGCCTGCGTTGTGCGCAATGTCATTCGACAGCCTCCTCAACGTTCGCCCAGTCCATCTCCATTTTCCCCTACATATTTGATGAGCAGTCGGCTCTTGTTTGGTTTGTTCCCGGCCAGAGTTTCTTATTGCTAATTCTTTCTGGCTCACCAGTTGGCCATTTGATCCTCAGTATGGAGCCAGAGAAGGTTGCACCTTTTGAGAAAAGTTTGTAACTTTTTAGAAATCCTTTTCGTGATACGCTGGCCAACTCTCTGATCCATATAGAAGGACTGATTGACTTCACATTTTTGCTGAAAATCCTTATCTTGTTCTGCATAGTGAGGAGGAGTGGTTTATAAAGGCGTATCTCGCTTTTTCGATTTTGACACGATGGCTTTGACATCTTCATCCCTTCATCCCTGTGGTTGAAACGATGCTTCCTAGATAAGTGAAGGAAGTAACATCTGTCATATCTCTCCCTTTGATAGTGATTGTTGCTGTTGGTTGATTGGTTATCTTCATCACCTCCGTATTCTCTATGTTCAACTTCAGCCCTATTTTCACTACCAGCCACTTCTGCCAGTTTGTAGGTTTTCACTTGCAAGTCTTCGAGTCCCTGTGACATCAGATATATATCATCTGCGAAATCCAGATCTTCCAGAGTCTTCTTATCGGTGGTCCAGCGAACTCCTGTCTCCTCGCTCCCAGTGAGCAGTCTGATGCATAATCCAGTCCACCACAATTGGGAACATCATCGGTGATAATAAGCACCCAGTCAACCTTGTTTTACTCCTGTATTCACTTCAAACGCCCTACCTACTTTTCCGTCGTCGATCACTTGACACGTGACATTGTCAAATAGCCAGCTGTTGAATGAGGTTGATAAAGATTTGAGGTATATGCATATCTTTAAAATTATGAATTTGCAGTACTTTCAAAACTTTTGGACATATAAATGATACATTTCCATGATAATATACATTTGTGTATCCATCATTATACGGTGTATTGAATGTCTTTCAAATTTGCTTTTTGCAGGTTCAAGTATGTGGAGAAATTCATTTAATATAATACATTAGCATCAAATACCTTTAGTTGAATGAACACACACTTTACCTCAATAGCAACAACCTAAAGTCACTTTTGTTACAAACTAACATCATCTGGACAGTTTTGCACAGCTACTTGGTTAGTCTCCAATAATCAGTAGCTACCATCCCCTTCAGGATCAAATACGAACTGTAGGTTACTTTCTGACATGAAATAACAAAATATGAAGACCACAGGTCAGTGAAATTCAACTCTATACACAAAAAGGAGACTGCTGTCCTCAAAAATCGACATTTTTGTATTAGAATCAACAAGGAACCGTAATGTGAACAATACTGACGCATCATGAATGAGAATGAAATGGATGTTCAGTGCTTTGAAATTCACAGTGTTATTTTAACTAATTCACAAAAATGTTATCATTGACAGAATCAGTGTCTTTAAACTTAATTCAACGAGAATACAGTAAGTGACTGTATGAATGAGTTCTCAGTCGTTTAAACAAATACCTTTTACAATTCAATGTCAGCTGTTCCCTGTTTTACCAACTCAAATAAATAAATGATAATCTTAAAAATGTAAAAATCGTGTTTCGTTTACTAATTTACATGAATATAATATTAATTTTTTTAAAGATACTAACTAATTAACCGCTTACCTTTGTTCACTCATTAACTTCCTGCGAATGACAGATTCAGAACTTCGTCTTTCCATACTGATTAAGGTAAATAAAAGTAAAACATCAAAAATGACTATTTTGCGAAATTTTAGATAATTTTGATAAATTTAACCTTAAGATTATATGGAATTTTTTTATCTTAACGGCGGTAAAAACTGAGTAACTCTGAATCACAATATTCTTCTTATTTGTTCACGGTTTACTGAGTTCCTGCCCGACCGGCTTTGTAAACTGAAAGTCGTGGGTTTGATCCCTGGTGAGGCCGTGGGCGTGTGCTTCTGAAGAGTCCTAAATCCGGATGAAACAGCCGTTCAATGCTTACTGGTTTTCAACGATTTTCTAACTGATATTAGTTCGTGATAAAATTCACGTTGGAACTAATCCAATTCTCTGCATAACCCAGAAATGAGATAAATTTATTGCTCATCAGTGTGCAGCCACAGGATCGTCTTGATAAATTCAAGGTTTACATGTACGATAATAAGCACATTATCACTGAATTATTAGTTTATTATCGATCTTACAACATGTCCAGTCTAAATCAGTTCCTAGTCAAGCTCAACCATAAGCCATTTTTCTTATTAAGCCTCTTCACAGGATTTCGACATGAACTGACATCGATTAGAGGACCATTGAAAAATCTGGGAGTACCGGGCAGCTGTTTCCTCTTAGTCTGGGACTCATAGGCAGTAGGCACCCACTGAAGTTCGAATCCAGGACCTTTCGGTTACAAGTCAAGCTCGTAGACCTTTCAGCCACTGGGTCCGGATCCAATGGCCCATGAATTATATCTTCTGCCAATTCACGATACAGAGGGATGACTAGCGAATGTCATCGACTAGTGTTTATCCTCCCACTTGACCTGCGTTACCCCGCTGGTCACGACTTCTCACTGGAACCCAGGTAATTACCTCCCTGAATACAGCCAGCCACTAGAGAGTACTAGATTAATATTTAAGTGTAGGTCTGCAGGGATTTAATTTAGCACACTACAATGATTTCCAATAGATAATCAAACTTTTGGACACTGTTCTCTAAGCTGAAAATGGCACCTTATTAAAGTAATAAAACTATAGCTAAACTCAAAAGTGTTGTTACTAATCAGTGACAGAAGCTTTCTACTGGTTGATAGTCTTTGAGCACAGCCTTCAGTGACAAATTAGTCATAACATTCTCCATACTGGAAATCGATAAATTTGTACTCCTATTTTATTTAAACACTGTAAAGCAACAGATACTCTCCATAAGGATAATTGCATAAACAATTATTCGTCACATTAGTTATGATCCTACTAGATTTTTTATCTCAACATCCTGTCTGTTTTGTTTTTCCTACATTTCTAACCCCTAATTGCACAATATATCAATCTTCTCAGTAATTATGATGCTAATTTGTTTGAGTTTTATCCGACCCCCTGTTTTATTATGGCATTGTAATTCCTAATTGTAATTTTATTAATATGACCCTTGACCGGAAATTATTCTAGAATATTCCCACCCATTTATTATATTTATGGTTCACGATTACAGATAAGAGGTAAGAAAAATAAGGTTAGAAACAAGGGTGTGGGGGGTAAGGTTAAAGGTGAAAATATTATTAAGTAAAATGAACCTTGACTGTAGATGGGTTTAATCCTCTTTATAACCATGGCTGAAATGTATAACCCAAACCTGTTAATATATGGGTTTACAGGCACTATAGAAATCAACCGTATGGTCTATCTGTGTGACGTGCTTTGCGATAGATGACATTGGACATCAATTTCCTGGACTAATTGTATTAGATGACATTATTTGTTTTTGCAGCCACTTAGGAATGTGTTCTATAGCCCTAACCTGCAGAGATCTATATATCCTCTCTACTTCTTATCTGTGATCTACACTGATAGAAATTGTGATCCTTTGTACTATGTTACCTGAAATTTGCTGTCAAATACCGCTGATTTATCTTTTTGACGTTGTCTATTTAACGGTAAGTCTGATCATGGATCGATGTCAGTTAGAGAAGCATTGAAAACCAGGGAGTACTGCACAGCTGTTTCATCCTAGTTTGGGACTTCTCAGCAGTATTCACCCACCAGGTTTCGAACTCAGGACCTCCCGGTTACACGTCAAACTCGTAGGCATTTCAGCCACTGGGACCTTGACTTAATGGCCCATGAATTTCGACTTCTATCAATTTGTGATTTTTCGCAAACATCGGCCAATATCATCAGCAAGTATTTGACCTCACTACCGACTAAGTGGATCCCACTGGTCACAACTTCTTAGTAGAACTCAAGGCAACCTCTCGCTATAGCCAGTCACTAGTGAGTATCAGATTTATTTTCAAGAGTTAACTTGTTCGGATTATATTTGTTTTAAGTCTAATCATAGATGGAAACCAATTAGAACATTTACATCCAAAATTACTGCCGGTCACGATAAAATCACAAAGTGAAGTTAGTAGTTAGAATTCACCGATCATTGGGTCAGGTCCCAGTAACTTGAATGGTCTAGAAGCTTGACTTGTAGCCGGAAAACAGTGGGTTCGAATCCCGGTGTGTGCATAGTGTCAATGAGTCCTTAACTAGGACGAAACAGATGTTCACCACCCCCTGGTTTTCAACGATTCTCTAATTCATATCAATCCGTGGGCAAACTTAAAACTAATCAAATCCCTACAAACAAACTCTTGAATATTTTACTTTAGACTGTCATTATATATTACCTACTTAGATAATGAAAATGACATTGTAACTAAGTGCTTTCTTCAACTGAATTTCAGATGAGTAGGAAATGTGAGTAACCGCTTTACACTTTACAAAAATAATACTGAAATCACCGAAAATACCCACTGAGTCATGAAGAAAATTTTAAAAAATATCTCATGAAGGCTCTATGAAAAATAAAACTACTGAAGTGAATCATATCAGTTTTCCAGTTTATTAATCTCTAATATTTTCTTTAAAAAACATACCGTAATCGAAATTCACTTGGTTGTATTTTCCTTCGGTTTTCTGTATTTTCTGACTGAATAGTTGTTACATCTGCTGAATGTTCAAAACTTCTGTTATCAGTCATTTGTTGCTGAAATAAATAACCAGCTTATAAAATAATAGGGAAAAATGATTGAATATAAAATTTAAAGGACCAAAATATGTTCTAAATTAGCATCAAGAATAAGAAATTAATTTGTGGATGGTGACTAGTGGTGGGATCCAGTATGCGCATTTCGTCCTATTTGGGACTCGTCATCCGGATGTACCTGCATTCCTCAGTGAGAATAAGAAATATCTAGTACACATTGCATAGTATCTTTTTTCAGACGCCAAAAAGTAGCAAATAATTAATTTACTTCGATTGTTTCAGTAAAATTTCGTTAAGATAAACTCGAAAAAATGTGATTTATTGCAAAAGGGATTTCCCTACATGACACCTAATTTACTATGACTGGGAAGTTATAGACCCAGAGGAATATCAATTAGTTCTTGATAAATAAATTGATTCTGCTTCCAGATTTCAAAAGAGCTAGTGGTGAAAATTAAAAGTGGTAATGTCAACCTCCCTTAAATGAATCGAAGCACCTAAATTCATTGTGTCAGCTTCACTGTACACCAGTAATGTAAGATTCTGACTGTATTTTAGCAACTGGACATGCTTATGTTGATTATTCTAATACCGATAAAAACAAACATGGAAATTCTTATTAATTATGAACCGGTGACTAAATGAAAGTACATGCTTACTTGTTAAGTTCCAACTGCTGGTCAATGAATGCTTTCGAAATGTGACTACTAAACAGAGTGATGTAGCACTATATTACACTCTGGTTTATTACTGGGTGTCAAGAGTTAATCTACAGTGAGTAAAGATATTTTTCTGCAGCTCATTATTAAGGTGTATATGTACATTATAAAGGTAATGCTTCCACTGAGTTCTGAACTTACTGACAAAGTGTCTACAAAATGGGAAACTGAAGTTTAAGATCGACTTCATATACTTTAGAAATCAAACAAAAGAAAGCTTTCATAAAGTCCTGATATAAATATTTCAAAATAGAACAAGGCCTTCTTTGAAAATCTTAACATAACATCCACTCCTGCTGCTAAATGTCTTAAAATCTAAATGTTAAAATTTCCTTAGCCAAAGGCCCAAATTTAACATATGAGATGAAAGACTAACCCATTTTTAGGGTGCATTCCCCATTTATTGAGAGGCTAAATCAAATTACCAACTGCTTCTCGAAAGACAAATAAACTAACTGTAAAATGAAGTTATTGATGCAGAAATTAATTTCCATTCATAAGGGAAGCTAGCAAAATTTCAGCAAGATGTCATTGATCATTATTATCGAAAATCAGTCTTGTGGATGTATTTACTTCTAAACAAGTTTCTAGATCTAAAATAATACAATAAAACACCTTTGACTACCAATAAAATAAGTTTTCTACATACAAATTAACCAAGAAGATAAACTAGTTTAATCACAGTTCCTTTTACCTCAGGATTTTTCTCTGGTTTTTGAGGCAAATTTCCACTTCTTTTTACCTTAAAAAATTTCTTCAACCACCATTCATTATCTTGAGCATATGCAAATATCACCATTATTGGAAAGAATGATAAAGTTAACAAAGATTCCCAAATCTCCACAACTTCCGGGCTGATGTATGCAACAACTAGCAGCATCCATACATAGGCAAATAGAGAACAAAAACTCGTAAACATAAATACACTGAATTTGGCAATTTTCTTCACTGTTGGTGAGGTTATGGACACAATACATATGCCTGATATCACTAGCAAATTGAAAGTTGCTGATCCAATTATAGTGAATAATCCTAAGCTACTGTGAACTTCATGCGAATCTTCAGATAGTCCTTTTACTGCCTCAATGCATGCAAGTAAAATTTCAGGAGCGGATGACCCCAAAGCCATTAATGTTAAATTTGCCACTGTTTCATTCCAGATAAATTCTTCATCTTCAACCGTCTTTCCTAGTTCTTCATCATAAATTATAATTTTGCGTTTTTTGGCAGTAATTCTTTCAATAGAGTACATGAAAACATCGGATGATACGGCGATTCCAACAAACAGATAAAGAAGTGCTAAAACATAAACAGCAGTCCTTATCCATAATGGCCAAAAATTTCCTCCTGGTAGAAGGAGCCAGCTGTGGCAATAAGCATTATCAGTTGCTATGTGAATTATTACAGGCCCACTGGAAACATTTTCATAGTATTCAAGCATCACATTACAAGCCAGTCATTTTTCATTTTATGCCTATAATTATGCCCACGCTCATACTGATGAAAATGAACAGAATAAACTCAAGTAATCAGTATAAATAGAGACTCGAAGAAAACCATTGTTCTTCAAGTCATGTAGAATTAACGAATAAGTATTTATAATCAATTCATCTGAATAAGAGTCGCTATTAGTTTCAATAAAACAGGTTTGTTTAAATGCTCCAAGGTCACGCGAATATTCAAAATACGGCTGAGTAATGGTTTCGGCTGCACAAACTGTTGATGGCGAAGAAAGTCGTGACCAGCTAATCGAAAAGTATCAAAATATAGGTAGAAACAGCAGATTACCTTATTTTCTTAGTCAAAAGTGATGTTGGATCAGACGAAGCAGAAATCAAGGTAAAAGAACAGGCCATACTGGAACTGGGAAATTTACTGGCAGACACTAAAAATGCCAAAGGTTGGTTTGAAAGTTTTTGGTTTTATTTATTACTATTTAGCTTGTTTCATCCCCTTTCATGCTACAGAGCACCCATGTTTCCCCATTCATATGTCTTTCTTTTGAGTGCAAGTTACACATACTCCCCCCAACACATGCTTTCTAACCTCGTAAGAATAAATACTAGTCTGCACTTGAGCCGGTATTCGTTCAGTTAAGGCATTTATCTGGCTTAACGTCTCTTTATGAACCTTTTCAGTTTTTAAGGCTAGGAATAGTTACTTAGCAAGTATTCACCAAATTTAGGAAACTTGATGGAAAATTAATACCAAGAGTTTTATAAATATAGACTCTCAAGACGTTCCGTAGTACTTTAGCGACTACCCGATGATTTTCGTCTTCAACTCAACTTTTATCTATTCCTGGAGTATGCAGTCAGTTCCCTGGTCATCGCTTTCCTTTACTGGAGGGTTTTCTTTCTTACCGAACCACATACCTGTGTTCTAGTTGTAATCACGATGTTCATTGACATCAAAATCTTCTGAATTTTAATCTTCGGTTAGTAAACTATGAATTATCACTTCGTGGACTTTCAGTATTTTGCTGTTGTGGCACAAAAGTGTACACTGAGGTGAACAGATTTGTCAGATTTTTGTCTATGTGCTTGTATCTTTAAAAATACATGTCCCGAACTTTACTTTTTCACGTTAACTGCTTAATAAGCTAGCCCTAAAGTTGCGAAAATTGGGTTATCACAGTATCAGCTGAGAGCCGGTGTAGACTGAATAACAAAGTGAAGGAAGATCTTACCCAAAATTGTGCGTCATCAGGTTCGAAACTCGCCCAACCTCCCAAAGTCTACGAAGCCAGAATGTATCGTCAGTATCATATAATTATTGGTTTGGTCTGTTTTTCAGTGCGCTTGATGGCGTATTTGGGCTCAGATGTACGGTCATCTATGGAGAAATTTCTGTTTTTATATATTTATTTCACTTAGTCTTATTGTAAGTTATCTTGTATTTCTTTCTTACATTTCAGGATTAGCAGATCTTATTTTAATAACTCGTCCGTTTCTCAAACATATCAGTAAAGCCAAGGCTGGCCGACTTGTTAGAACTTTAGTGGACTTATTTTTGGACCTTGAGGGGGGTACTGGTCGGGAGGTTGATCTCTGTCGGGATTGCATCGAATGGGCCAATCAAGAACGACGCGTTTTTCTTCGTCAGGCACTGGAAACTCGTCTTATGGGTCTCTATTACGAAAATGGAAGCTATGAAGAAGCATTAAAACTAGGTAATTTAGGATTTTTCTTGTATGTGACTTTGCCATCTTTTTCACTTGTGGAGCAACCATCGAAATATCTGCCTCCCAACCAACCAATTCAGTCAAACTGTGCTTCATATATTTCAAAGTGCATGAGTGTTAAGTGTACGAACTCCACTCTTGTACACTCATTTAAGTTTAGTGAATTTGTTCTCTAGTTGTGTGAATATTTTAAGTGATAAGCATCTCAATTTCTTTGATAATATGTTTCCTTTTAATTTTATCAGGTTCTAGCTTGTTGCGGGAGCTTAAAAAACTGGACGATAAAGCCCTCTTGGTTGAGGTGCAGCTAATGGAGAGTCGTGTATACTACATGTTAGGAAATCTACAACGAGCCCGTGCTGCACTCACATCAGCACGAACTACCGCAAATGGCATATACTGCCCACCACGGTTACAAGCCAATCTTGATCTTCTTTCAGGTAAGTGATTTATAACTGTGTAACTATCCTCTTTAATGTTCACAAAGAATTACTGGTTATGTTTTGTGCAGAATGCACTCGAAAAACACTGACGTTTAGCATGATTGTGCTTAGGCATCAGTGAATAGCTTTATTGATTTGCTTGATGGTGGTTTACAGTGGAATCTAAATTAGATACCAAGGCATCCGATCAAGATGCTCGTACGATGAAATGAGACAATTGAGTTTGGTCCAAAAATGTCAACGGGTAATTGCAAATACAAATAAATAATGTTTAGCTATACCCTTCGTACTTGGGATGCTTTCATGGTTTAATAGCTTTGGAACAATAGAAAAACACTCATTGGAATGTAAGTACATATAACTGACTGGTCTCACGTTTGACGAAGCGTGCGTGTTCACTCCTAACCACCACCAATTCTTTAATACATAGATTATTATTCCTTCATTGAGCTCCTCATGGGGCATATGGCTTCAGCATATCTCCACTGTACTCTATTTCATTTAATCTTTTCTAGTTGGCTTCACGACTACCCACAGACTTTTATTTCCTCTTCATATGATCTCCCCCTTGTCAACCTCAGATACCCAACTACTCGCTCCCCATTTAAAGACCTGACATGAAATGCTGTTTAAATGCCGCATGTCCTATCCGTCTCCTCCCTCCACATACTTCCTAGACAATAGGTTAGTTTGCTGTCAGAATTTCTAGTTGCTTATCCTTTTTGATTTCCTGATCTTCAGCACAAAGCAGATGTTTGTGTTGATAAAAATGTTCAGCCTGCTGAAAATGCCTACGGTGATGAGCGGAGTTTCTGAGCAATGTAGTGGCATTGACTTGAAATTACTGTTGAAAAGTTGGATCCTGTTCTTTGCGCTAAGTTCTGTAAATCTCCTCACTGATTTAAAAGTATAAATCCCTGCCTTGCCTTTCTGATTCTTTCTGCCGTTGACATCCTCGGCCGTGCTATCTGTCCAATTAAGCGACAGACAACTTCTTTCAGACTTCCCCTATCCATTGTAATTGGTATTTGTTTTTGGTCGGGCATCTTCATCACCTCTGTTTCTTAATGTTCACCTGAAGTTGTGTTTTCGCCTGTAGATCTTCAAGTTTGTGCGACACTAAGCATAAGTCACCCACAAAGCCCTGACCTAAGGTCATTTTTTCAGCCCAATGTGTACTTGTCTTCTTGCTCCCCTCTGCCTATTGCATAATTAAGTCCACTACACTCGAGAAAATCACCTTTGGTAGTAGGCAGTCTTGTCTTCACTTCATAGGCTTCATTAAGCTTTCCGTTGTGAATCACTTGGCTTGCGGTATCATACAGCTGTTGAATGGGGTTTATAAATGTTAGCACTCCGTAGTTTTGAAGAAATTGCCAAGTTACTTCACGGTCAACGCTATCGAAGAGTTTTTCAAAGTCAATGAAGCTGAGGTAATAAGTTAGCTGTCTTTCTAGGCTATTCTCAACAATAATGCGTAGTATCACAGTGTAATTCGAGCATGGTTTGTTTTTCTTGAATTTAGCCTGCTTCGGGTCAAGTTATCCATCTAGGGCACCTTTTAGACTCTCCAGGATTATGCTGGTTAATATTTTCTTTGGAGTAGACAGGAGTACAATTCCGTGTCAGTACTTAAATTTGCTTAAGTTGCCTTTCTTTGGGAGCTTGGCAAGGATACCTTTCTTCCAGTTGACAGGTACCTTTCCTTCTTTCCACACCTGCAGCAGTGGCTTGAGTATATCCACTGAGGTCTTGGGTTCCTTGTTTCAGTGATGATATTCCATCTGGCCCTTCTGCTTTCAGCGCTTTTAGTAACTATGTAGCCTTCAGAACTTTGATTTTGTTGGGGTTGGTATTCACTGGTAGTTCTGTGTCTGATGGTAGCATTTTTGAATTAGTCGCTGGTGGTAGTCTGTTTAACAGTCCCTTGAAATGACCAATCCAGCGTTTCCTTCATTATCTTTCATTGGCTTAATCTGAGTTGATTTCTTCCCGGATAACAATCTTACCTGCAACCTGTTCTGCTTCAGTTGCTAGTGTGTCGTAAGATCGTCTTTTGTCTTTCCTAGCACTGTCCTTCCATTGTTCATCTCCGCAATGTTTCATATGCTTCATCATCCTCTTGTATATCAGCTTCCAGGTGTCCGTAGTGAGTTATTCTTTGTCTCGCCTCTTCTTACTTAAAGTGCTTATACAGGTCTCCTAACATATCGCTTTCAGAAAGTCCCAGTGTTTCTCCACTCAGGTTTCCTTAGTGACGTTGTTAGTATCGCCGACTGTTTTCTGATGACTGTTGTGAATGTCCTTTGTACCTATATCCTTCAGTTTTTTAGTGTTAAACTTGAACCTGATCTTGAAGGTCTGAGTCTACATCTGCTCTTCTCGATTTTGTTCCCGGTAGGCTGCACCTCCCATTTGTTGAAATTGAGATGCAATCTGATATTCGGTATGTCCATCTGATGAGATCTATGTGGTTTTGTGTGTATCCTTGTGTTTGTACACTTTGCCTTCATTCACCAAATCATAGAAGACTCAGAACTCGGCAAAGATATTTTCATTCTTATTCATTTCACGAAGGTTATCTTAGCCCATGATGAGTTCTCCTCCTGTGTTGTCTACTCCTAATTTGGCATTCATATCACCCATGCACTGTTTTTAGGCACATACCATTGCTTAACTGTAGCTTTTTCTCCTTTTGAGTTGAATTTCACTGACATGATTCCGAAGGAGAACATGTATGTGACCGATAAGAATTGCACTTGTCTGTCATCTATTACTCGAAATTGTAACTTTGAAAAATTCCTGTTAAGCTAGTGTATTTAGGTAACAGATGTAGAAGGTGATGCAAACCACCTAGAGAGATGTCTTTTTCGGAAATCTTGACAAGCATTCTATACCAGTCGATAGTAAGATGTTATGAAACCATCTTATATGGAATGCTATCGTATAGAGGCGGAAAAAGCAGTGTTACCCTCTAAGTGAAAAATATTTGGTCATCCCACCTTAGGTTAGTCTGTATGTCTGTTTCTGGCATTTTTTAAACAAAAGTGAATCAAACAGTGATCTCATGAATGAATTAGATTAGGGACTTAGAACCGACTCTCATTAAAGGCGTTGTATAATTATTATATGTATATGTACTGTATATTAGATTTAGGTTTTAAAGTTAGGTTCCGGTTCTTTTAGGTAACAAATGAATTAACTTTTATGACATGTAGCTCTCCCATCAAATATACGATCACTTCACACGATCACTCATACTGTAAAGCAGTGCATTCTTTCCTACTCCATGACTGCAAAACAATTGGTCATCTCCAATGTAAAAGTTCACTTTTAATGGGATTACGTCGGAAGACAACAATGAGTGACCAATTCCTAAGTTTACTGAATAAGGCATATAAGTTAGTTTGCGTGTGTCCGGGGACGACAGCCAAAATGGATGATTGGAAACTCTAAAAGTGATAATACAATTAACCGCTCTGGTTCAAATGTCTTGTCACTTTCCTCTCAATTTTATCACTTTTTTCCACTTTTTGTCTCATAGTGTTTGGTAATTTTATCAGTTCTATTTTCACACTTCTGTTTTACTTTTTAATTACTCCTTACTTAAACGAAGTTCAGCAACTGTGAGCTGCGCGCTATTGCCTTTCTTCCCCTTTTTTTAATAGTGATATTAACTAATGCCACACATTAAATGAATAAATATTATGCCTCTTATTTTATGAATAAATACTGTTTGTAGTCTTTTTCTTAAAAAAATTATCTAAATTTCATTTACAGGGATTCTGCACGCTGCTGATGAACGTGATTTCAAAACTGCCTTTTCTTACTTCTATGAAGCATTCGAAGGCTTTGATTCCATCAATTCCAAACGTGCTGTCGATGCTCTTAAATACATGTTACTCTCCAAAATAATGCTAAACTGGTTTGTCATATTCTTTATTGACTTTTCGAATCATAATTACTAGTCTTGAAAGTATTTCTGCTATCATACTTTGAGGTTTTATTTGGTTTATCTTTTTGCTAATGTATTATTTTGCATGCTGTGTATTATTAGTTGAATGTCTCATTAAGGAAGTGGCCATAAATACCAGAAACTGCACTTACTTTGTAACCTTATTCACTGCTGAGTTTAAGGAGTCATGACCTTTAAAATGTCAGGGTTATTATGTACCTTATATTCGTTTAACATTGGTACTCAAGTTTAGTAATTTGTGAAAAAATGACCAATTGAAATAAAATGCAAGTCATATGTGCAAGAAAAAGAAGTATACGCAGGATGTGTGTATATACGTGTTAGTCTCCTAGGAGAAACTATGTTTAGCTGGTATGTACTATTGTATAACGCTGACGGTTCATTGCCACTGATTATTGAGTTGTGATTTTAATAATTTATTCTTAAAATAGTACAGTGTGTGTAAGTTGGTGTATTGACAAATCTAAAGAGCATTGTATTCTTCTGTTCTCAGTAATTATGTAGAAGGTCCAGTGAGATATGCCCACTGAAAGTGGAAGATATGAAAAGACAAGTTGTCTCTGACTACAGATGTTTGCGTTCTGTCTCCCGTGTTAAATGGTATAATATGGTGAGTTATATTGAGGTTAGGCGTAGAGTGTTAGGTAAGGAACGAGGTTCCATCGATTAAGATGTCTGGGACATGTGTTACGCATGTCGAGTCATCGCCCTTCTCGACGTCCAATGCTAGCTCGCATAGGGTTGCGTTGGAAAAGAGTTAGGGGTGGTCAAACCAAAACCTGGTATCAGTCCTTGAAGTGTTTGACAGTTGATTTGAGCCACCTAGGGAGGTGAAGACTGTGTGGTTGGGGTCCTTGCGATACTGGAAACCAGTGTCTAGTGACTATTTGTAATGTGGTTCAAAACCATCTTCAGTGACGCAGATGCGTTCACTCTTTGTAATCTCTTACTATCGATTAAACCCTCAATTTTTCGGTGTAATTATTCATTCTCCCTCACATCTCTGCTTATTATCATCCTCCCAAATCGCCCTTTTTTCTCTTTTGTCTTCCTTTGTGTAATACATGAAGCGTGACAACTTAAATTGGCGTACTTTTGTGCAAAGTCCTATGTTAAAATTCAGTAATTCAGAAGGTTCAGTTTACTTGATATACTGCACATATATTCTAGGTTCTTGTACTAATTAACCCTTTTTAACAAACTTTGTATTCATTGATGATTTTAGGTTTAGTATTTTCACTGCTTCAGCCATTATGGGTTAGTTAATACATGTAGCAGTGGGTTTCATTTCATACTTCATCTCTTGCTGTTGTTTTTCTTATCTTTGTTTGATGTCTCACCTTCGATGAGTGACACGATCAATGAGATTATGGGAAATAATAATATAGATAACTTGAATAAAACCATACACTACTATGATACTACCTGAACTATAAATTGACATTATTTTCTTCGTTACTTGTGTTTGCTATGTGACTATCCATCATAATGAATAGTGAGAGAAATTCGCAAATTGATGCTTAACTTTCTGGAATGCTTACCCTATCACGTTTGAATATTGATCTGTCTTTTATTTCTACATTTCAGTGCTGATGAAATCCCAAGTATTCTTACAACTAAACTAGCTTTAAAGTATACAAGTCGTGATATTGATGCTATGCGAGAGGTTGGAGTAGCTGCCAAAGAACGATCACTTGGAGATTTCTTACTGGTAATTTATGCTTAATTAATTCTTCTTTACATTCATCCTTTTAATTTTATCTTCATTCTATACAATATTCAATATACCCCCTTACTAATTTCTACCCGCCTGCACAGTTCACTATCAGTCACTTATAATATTGTATAGGAATTTGCCAACTATATGTTCGTTTCATTCATTGGTCTAAGTAGTCACATCTCCATGTGCTAGGGTTTAGATAACCACGTAGCGTTTTCAGGCTTTGATATGTTTATTATTATTACTTTATTATGATTCCCTTGTGTTCCGAGTGGGATATAGGGCTTCAACAACAGATCTCCACTTTGTTCTGTTACCTGCCGTCCTCTCCAACTGGGTCCACGTTTGATCAAACTCTCTCATCTCTTACTGACACGATCTCCTCCATGTCACCCTCGTCGCTTCTCATTTGGAAACCACTCGAGCTATATCCTGGTGTGCGATGTCATTTGATGGCCTCCTCAATGTATGCCCAATCCACCTCCACCTTCTCCTACATATTTGTTAAGTGATTGGCTCCTGGTTGGTTTGTTCCCATAGTTTATTGTTGCTTATTCTTTCTCACCATTTGATCTTCAGTATGGAGCGAAGGCAGTTGTTGATGAAAGTCTGTAACCGATTGTTGGAAATCCTTTACGTGACACGCTGGCCAATTTTCTGACTCGTGTAGAAAAACCGGCTTCACATTGGTGTTGAAAATGTAAATCTTGTTCCTTGTGCTGAGTACGGAAGATTTCCAAACTGGTTTCAGGTTGATGAAGACGTGTCTTGCCTTTCCGATTCTGACTTTGACATCTTCGTCCGTTCCACCTGTAGTTGAAACGATGCTTCCCAGATAAGTGAAGGAGGCAACCTTTGTTAAATCTCTCCTGTTGATGGTGATTGGTGCTGGTTGTTGTTACTGTTGATTGGTTATCTTCATCACCTCCGTCTTCTCTGTGTTCACCTGCAGTCAGGTGATGTGACGTTCAATCTATTATATGGTGGAAAGCCGGTTTAATGTTTCTGTCGCATTATTCTGCATTAAACTCTTTCTTCAATAGACCTTTACTATATTTGTAATATTAATGCTGCTTTCTGTATACAATACTGTTTTATTAATTTTTATTTTTTTTAGCTTCAAGAAAAGTATAAAACAGAATTATCTGGAGACCCAGTGATAAGCAGACATCTGAAAACATTTTATGACACATTGTTTGGACAGAATCTTCTTAAACTTATTGAACCGTATTCCCGTGTTCAAATTGGTCATATCGCTAAACTTATCAATATTCCTTTGGTAAGCACAATAGATTTATTTAGCTAGGTGTTTCTCCAGTGTTTTTGATTTCTTGTGAATGTCACCTGTGGCTTGGTTTTCTTTACATATATGTCTCCCGTTTCTATTTTAATATCCTACTAGTTAATGTAATTATACTATTGTGAGTTGATAGTGTATGATATACCTAACCATCGCCTTCCTCGACGGGCAGTGTTAGCTGACTGACATAGGATCAGGCTGGAAAAGAGCTAGTTAGAGATGGTCAAACCAAAAAATGGCTTCATGAGTCAATGAAATCCACAACAGTTAGTTTAAGCCAGTCACGTAGGGAGGTGTAGACTGCTAGTGTGGTTAGAGTCCTTGGGACGGCAAGAACCAATGGTTGGAGACAATTGGTGATATGACTGGCTCAAAATCGTTCGCAATGCAGGGCACAGATACATCCCCTCCTTGTGATTTATTATATCCAATGAAACCGTCTTGTTATTCCATATCTTTATTCTTTTTGCCTCATATTTCTGTGTATTATCTCTGTTTTGACTCTCTTTTTACTTTCTTCTCTTACTCTGTGTGCTAAGTGAAGTGTCGCAACTCGAACTGTTGTACATCTGTACAAAGTTCTACGTTGAAACCAGTCAGTCAGTCAGTAGGTGATATTTCACGATAATGTGGAGACACATTGGAACAACTTTGCCTATTATTAAAGACAGCAAAAGATGCTCCACACAAAGTCTCAGTTTGCGCGATGACTGGAACACTGCCCGGAAGCTCAGACCAAAGCAGCCGGTTGTTTTATGGGACCACCCCGAGCCTTCGAAACCATATGACAGTGGAGAAGCGTCGAAACTTCATTCCCATGATCTCTACTGACTGGAACGGGTTCATATGCTATTCTGTCATTTCGGATTCTTAAGCCCATGTACACCAAAAGTTTGGAATCAGGACTTTCCAGCTCTCTTAGGTAGACTTGGATATCTACCAGTCCGGTTGTAAGAGTCACTTTAGTGAGAATACCCCCGCTATGTAAAAGCAATGAATAAGACTTACATTACAAATGGTGTGGATGCGTGGTCGGATGAGAGTATTTTGCGAGGAAGACCGAAGTCTACTCACCGTCTGCCCTACCTGGTCGTTTATAGCGGCAGGTTCAATCTCTGCTTAACTTGTATTCAGAAGTTAGTTGCAAGAATCCGTAATTATTGTGATTTGTTTCAAAAAATAACTGATTTAAAATGTAGTAATTACAATGTGTCTTCATTTTTTTGTCAGGAAACTGTGGAGAAGAAGCTTTCACAGATGATTTTAGACAATGAACATAATGGTAAGTTCTTTCTTGCTGTTAATAATTGTTTTTTTTTTTGTTACTTCCACTTTTTCCTGAGGCGTTAGTTTAGATTTCTCACGCAGTTGATCATAGTTTTAAGCATAGTGTGTGTTACTGATCTCCTGTATTGTTAAGCCTCAGTCTCGCTCAAACTCTCTTACCACTACTACGTTTTTAGCTGGGCATAACCCTGAGGCCGAAAAGTTATTAATAGTGTAATTATAGTTGATCCGTTATCTCCTGGTAAATTATCAGGCTATAAAAATAGGAATCACTTCATTCCAAACAGTAATAATTGTACAGATTGGAATTTTCAGCATTCAACGTATTGCAACAATTTATCTTCTTTACCAAACAAATAAAATAGGAAAATAATAAAAAAGCAAATAGTGAATTCGATAGAAAAGTAATATGTATAATGGTAGTGCCCAAAATAATTTGCTATCTTATTCCCTCATTATAAGGTAGGTTTATAAGCTCTTTTCTGACACTAGTCTCTTCACACAATCCCCACACTAAATATGATATAGACGTACCAGCATAACTTCTTATGGAATATTTTCTGGTTTTACCCGAAGGCAGAAATTTTTGCGAATAAAGAGGATGTTTAGTATGTGAAATTATAACTTCAGCCAATTGCTTGCAAGGATTTATAAAATGCTTATCAGTTAGTTGGGTCAATGGCACATCACGAACTAGTCCTTTTTTGAGAAGCATAGGGGAGAATAAGGAGGAAGAGGAGGACAATCGAAGAGAATGGGTAGAATATATAAATTAACAAATTATACCAGAAGACATTGATTTATGCCAAAAAGTCTCAACTTCCTTGTGTAGTCGTCGTAAGTCAACGGAGGATATTATTTAGAAATCAACAAGATTTAAGCCAATTAACAAAGGTTGCGAGAGAAACTGACACAGTCGATGCTACAAAAATCATGCGATTAAATCAGTCCATGCAAGTCTTGTTCGCTCCAGAGTCTAAAATTAAAATTCTAATATTATGCTACCATGCAAGCTAAAATTTAGGCTTCCAGTGCCACCTTCCAATAACTTGACTACTCAAGACTAACATCAATAAGAAAATGACAATTGCAAGTTTATATATATATATTCTTCCTAAAACTTGTCAAAATTTCACTTAAGGAAAAATTGCACACCTGTTCATTTCCGCATTTGGCTGGTTTTCTAAAAGCTGGTTGAATAACGGCTTCACGTTGATAGCGTTTATGTTCCATTAGTATTTTTGTCATTATGCACATATTATTGTGATATTTCATTACTGACTGATTTATACAACAAAGGTGTTAAGACACCCAACTCACTTTATGACTTATGCTCTATCTAGTTACAAACATTAGATTTGTTTTTACGAGTTAATCACGGATTGATGTCAGTTAGAGAACCATTGAAACCACCATGGAGTACTGGACAACTATTTCATCCTAGTTATGAGAATCATCGGTAGTACGCACCCACTGGGTTTCGAACCCAGAACCTTCCGTATACAAGGCAAGCTCGTATACCATTCAGCCATTAGGACCCGATTCAATGGTCAGTCCATGAATTCTAACTTCTACCAATTCGTGATTTAGCGTGATCACCAACTAATGTCATCTGTGGGACATCCATCCTCACACTTGACTGGATGGACCTCACTAAGAGGAAACAGCTGTCCAGTATTCCTTGCTGGTTTTCAATGGTTCTCTAACTGATATCAACTAACTATGCCAAAATGTTTGATTAGCATTTCCCACTCTACTTGTTTTGATATAGTCATTTTTAATATTCAAGTTAGGAATAATGGCTTAAAATTTTTTTCCTTTCGTTGCATATCTTATTCTTTTCCTGTTTTAGATGAATAATAATAAGCATTCTAAGCCCTCTTCGAAAACCATAATTATATTTCTTTTTCGTCAAATGATCATGATTATACAGCAGGAATCGTCGTTTACTGTTTTACCTTCAAACCTTATGGTGTTTTACTCAAAGACTTCTATTCACTCGGTAGTAAGCTACTTGCATTGTGTAATAGCTAGTGGTATCACCTATTTAGCCAAGCGTTGATAAACAAAGTAGGACTTAAACCTTGATCCACTGGCTGGGGATAAGATGTCTAAGCCAGTTTATAAGAAAATACAGACTGTCATTATTATTAGCCTACCTTGAGTACTATTCACTTGTGATGTTACGAAGAAAATGCTGACAAAAGTATACAAGTGTATTACTTATTTTAAATTATTATCAAATTTGGATATAAATCAAGAATAAGACTTGATGCCGTACACACCAAAGTTATATGGAGGAATTACTTCAAACTTTATTTTTTTTTCCCAAGTATTTGTAATCCATCCAAAACATACTTGGGTTTTCTTTGTTAATGCGAAGACAATATTTCTATATTTCTTGATGTGTTCCATTGAATGACTAGTTATCATATTGCTCCCATAGACAAAATGACTGCAACCTTATAATTTTACCATGAACCAAATTTATGTAATGTAAATAATACTTATCCATGCCTGTACAATTGGTGTGTCCTACACAGGTTGGAAAAAATGTATTTTATTAAATTACTATTATTAAATATGCTTACTAATCGTATATGTAATTTATCATGTTGATGATGCCTGTAAACTGGCGTCCCTCATGTAAAAAATGAGAATATATTATTATTATTATTATTATTATGGCACCACATTCAAACATTAGAAAGCTTCTAATTAAATACACTTCGTCTGTGTTATATGGTGTTTTAGCCTTGGTATGCAAGTAGTGTAGTATTGTTGCTTTTGTTCCGGATTTTTCCTTGTACCAGCTTAAATACAACGTATAATCCTCAGCTATTTAGAATATGGTACATATGTCTTAAACACAATAGTGCATTACGCAACTCTCCCTTATTTATTTCATTTTATGTTTCGTGTTCCCAGTGGAACATAAGGCCTCAAACTCTGAAGTTTCAATAGCATAGGTATTATTCTTATTCACATGGTGGGGTTGATAGTCTCATGTCGAACTTTACCGGGCTTGCTGTCGGCAGAGCGAAGTTTGAAAGTGCGTATTGTTCTATGTATGTTCTCTATTATTTCATGTGCTATTTAGAAGTGCAGAGACGTTGACTAATATTCTTCGCTACATTTTATTTATGTTATTTAATTTTTTGTTCTGTTTTACTAAAGGAATTTTGGATCAAGGCTCCGGAGTTTTGGTGCTAAGAGAACCAGAATGTGAAGGTAAAGATTATCCGCTGGCATTATCTGCAGTACAATCTCTTGGTGGTATTGTTGACATGCTATTCCAGAAATCCACTAAATTAAAATAACTTGAATGCTTTGACTTTGTAATTGTTATGAAATAAAACTTGTTTACCTGAAATGAACTTTTCGTTTGGTTAGTCACCTGATTCTGTAATTAATGGCAGTGTATAGTTATCGTTAAAAGTGTCTGTATTCTTGTAGACAACCTTCAGTTCGTGGATTATACTCGTTTGTTTGATTCTACTACTGATGATGTCTTACTGCTGTCAACGGTTGTCGATTGTACTTTACCTGTGATCATCTCTTAGATTTAATTTACCAGTGTATTTTAAGTACTTCTATATGATATATTCTATTTACAAATTTGTAGGGGCTTTGTCTCATTGTCCTACGTTCAAAGTACTGGCATTCAAGAAGATTTAGTGTTAATGTTGGCTTACTTTCAATGGAATTTGTAATTTAAATATTATATAGCATTTAAAAAACAACCTAACGAGTGTAATTCATAGTTGTTTTAAGGATGCCTCTGTATTAAATAGCTCAAGAATTGAATAATGGATTCAAAATTTGGATCAGATCGAAATTCAGATCATTCAGGATTGTGATTTCCTATTTACCTTACATGGTTTCCATAACTGAAGGAAGACTGGCTTTTAAGATTTGTATCTTTTATTCGGCATCATATTCAGTAAAATAATAATGTGAAAGATCTACTTTTGTTAGGCAGTTCAGGTCTTATCAGGCACAGATTTGCAATCCAGAGCTGGTCTTATCAGATGGCTTACGTGATGATCGCGGTGAAAGTGCCTCCTTAGCAATGGGATATTTGCGGAAAATAAGGAAGTCTTTTTGAAGTTGATGTCATCGGTATATGGTGGGCAGTGACGCCGTCTTACTGCATTCGTTCTTATTCCACTCATTCCCGTGGGATTTCAGTAAAGCATTAAGAGGGCTTGTTCTATAAGTAAATGTTTACCGCTTTTCTTCCCATACTAAACGGGTGCATAGTGACGGTTGCTAGTGCGACTATTGGTTTGCTGTTATTACTCTACATGATGTTTGGCACAAATGTTATGGAGCTCTGAACACCTTGTTATATCCTGTGCCTCTGTCAAAGCGTTCTATAGACATTTCATGTATAAATATCAGGATTCTACTGAAGTCTATATAAGTCATTCATCATCATATACCAGGATCCTCTCATTATAAACTTAAAGAGTTACTAAGTGCATATGTCTATTCGGCAAATAGGCTCTTGACCACGTTTAAAGCGTCATAGTGTTAGGGCATATAAATTATAAGCTGCACTATACCTGATTGCAGATCAATAGGTCAAATATATCGAATGTGGTTGCAATAGTCCCCTGCAAACATTCACTAGGAGCGAATTTTAAAGAGGTATCTTTATTGCTTTCTTGGCTTTCAAGTGGAACATAGGGCTTCAACAGCGCATCTTCACTACACGCTGTTCTCAGCAGTTTTTGCATCTAGCCCCACGACTGACCGTAAGCTTTCATCTCATATGGTCTCCACCATGTCACTCTCAGACCCACACCCGACTCTTTTCTCATTCGAGGTTCACTCAAGTTCCTGTCACTCAGTATATGTCACGTCCATTTTGCAAACTTTTCGGTTATTTGAATTGGTGGATGGTGACTAGCAGTGGAATCCAGGATGCGCATTTCGTCCTATTTGTGACTCGTTAGCTGGATGCACCTGCATTCCCCAGGGGGTGATTATGTTCCCACTGAGGCTCGAACCTAGTGTCCATAGTTTCAAACGCCAAAACGTTATCCACTCGGTTATTTCTTTGCCGGTTATCTAATCTTCAGTATAGGGCGAAGGCAGCTTCTGACAAAAGTCTGCATCCTGTTGGAAGTGATTTTGATGACGAGCAGGGTAAGTTTCTGAACCATACAGAAGCGTTGACTTGACGTTAGTGCTGAAAATCCGAATCTTGTGCTGATTGCAACAGATTTCCACAGTAATTTCAGACTACTAGTGATCTTTCTAGCTTTTCTGATATTGTCTGTGACATCGTAATCCACCTGAACTGGAGCTGAAATTTTGCGTAGATAAATGAGAAAAGAGAATTCCTTCCGTCTCTTCTCTGTTAGCTCTCGAGTGTTCATAGAAAGCTTTTCCATAACTTACCTCTTCATTCCTCTTAAAGCTTCAATACATCTCTTTCGAAAAGTTTCAGTGTTCTTCCTTGATGACGCAACTCTAAGGGATGAAAAGATGCCGATGGTGTATAAACGCAAGTGTCTATACTGTGACTCCCAAAGTACCTGGTCTGCTGAGACCACAGAAAAGTTAACAGGCAATATCACCTTATTTGTATCTCTGTGCTTGTACACTCTGCTTCAAATCATCATCACACTGAAGGTGCACTAATTTATGAGGAATATGCCATCCTCATTCACTGACTCATGATGTAGTCTCTTCTAGTGCTGTTTGCTCCCAATTTGACATTTATATCACCCACTAAGGTTTGATTTCGCCACCCACCTGTAGTTATCTCTCAAAATTCTCCTTCGCTAGTGCAGTTTGTGGGAGCCTAGCGCTGTATAGCTTTAATTTTTCTTCCTTTTATGTTGAATCTTGCTGTCATTACCCTGGGTGATATTGGTCCTCTACACATGAAAGTCTTCAATGGCGTTAGTGGAATTATGACGGCCACGCTCTCAGTGTGCTCGTCGTCCTAGTGCCTGAAGTACATCACTAACCCTCCATTTAGCAGTTTGGAAAGTCCCCTTTCATTCTATCTGCTCTCAGAGACCCATTTAAATTGTATGTCATATCTCACTTCTTCTGCTATTTGAGCATCGTTCCTATGCCTGTTCTCCCTTATATCTAAAGAAGGCACATCGGTTAACTACCTTCCCTAGGGCTTCTACCAGGACGCGTCATTTCGCCTCTGTAACTCCAGCTAAGAATATGTTCGAATTTTCACATTTTGCCTGAGCTAGTCGGTTTGCGTATGCAGTTATGTTATTACGGTGAAATCGATAATAAGCTGTCCTGACCAAGATTTACAGAAGAAATTCAATTCGGAGAAAGTGCTTCATACTAAATCCTAACCCAAATTTCCTTCCCCAAGTCGCACCCGTTCGTCCTCCTCTTAAATGAAGGACATTTCAGTGAATGCCAGCGCTTATGGGAAACTGTTCTATGTTCTTATATTTTGAAGCGGGTAACCTGTTCATATACCTCACGTTCCAATAATCAACAGTTTCCTAGCATCTTCAAAGTTACTGGTTCTACCTCTTCATCAGTTTCGAGACCATATGATTGATTTGAAACCATCACTTCTAAGTTAATGGTGGAAGCCTTAAAACGGTCCACCTAATCCGTCAATACCCACATCCTCGTCAGAATGAATGTCATCCGGTAACCTTTTCAATAAACATATGGTGGCACATATGAAATCCTAAGAAGAAATGACGTCAACGTGTGTAAATGTTGAGACATCAGTGAACATTCTTGTTTATTTAAATTTGTTCCCCGTCTGTTGGAGTCATGAGTTTCCACCGTGACCCTGTTGCCTTCTGGTTGAGAGAAGACTGGAGTGTTGTGATCCGAAGCAGTACTGTATATTGCGTAAATCTTCAAATCTTCCAAATGGCTCTTAATACTGCTTGTCCTGATGTCCAGCTGATTACCATATAGCTTATTGAGCCCCAGATGAATATTTGCGGATGAAAATTCCTTATTCTGTGTTCAGACCATTTTTAGGCTGGCTCACTCACAAGACAGTCATCACAGTGGAGTGGAGGCGAAACAGACGCTCTTCTCATTGAGAGCGAACATCCGATTGTCTCGTTTATTTTAGTTTGTTTCATATCGACTAGACATGTGAATCTATGTATCGAATAGTCCCCAAACATTTGTTCTCAGCATCCTGACGACTGCTGGTGAACATTTGGCACTTCCTTGAATGGTTTAAAACAATAGCCAGATGAATTGGCGGCATTTCTGGTGTGGATACTCCTAACTATTTGCACGCCTGCATCCGTATCATCCAACATTGTTCGCCAGGGAATGAGCCAACCTCCCGCCCGTAACACATGTCCTAGCCATTCCATCTGATGCAACATACAACTTATTTGATCCATTCCCCTTCTTATATATGTAACCTTACAATCACTGACCACATACCAACTGATATGGTAAGTCGAATACAGAAACCTATCTCAGCAGACAGCTAACCCTTTCATAGCTTCCAATTCTAATGGCTAATTCTCAAAGCCATTCCACGACGGTTGGTGCTAAGAGAGTCCTCCGTACCCTAGTTAAGATTCCTTCCTCCTTGAGGCTAACTAAACTCCCTGAACAAGTTGTGTGGTCAAAATGTTTGACCATTTTACTTCTTTTTCCGTCATCCACGAGCCGGCAGAGACCAGTTTTGCTACGTCATTTTATATCTGATAAAGTTTGTTTCTAAATGTTCGGAAGATTGCATTTGCCAGAATGTTTCTGCACGCTGTATATGGAAAAGACACTTCACCGTCAATAAGTCAATCCCTGAGACTTCGAGGTCGGTTGGAATCACCTCCATTACTACACTTACACCTGCCCTACGTAAAATGGTGACATTTGGTACGTCACCTGAGAACTCTGCATAAGTTTTTGCGTGGCCGCATGAATTTAATTAGAGTTCATTGGTTAGTACGACATATTTTCTTGGTGCCCTGTTAGAAGTTCGACATTACTGAAACACCCCTCGATTGACAGGTCAGATGGCATGTTAAGATCAAGATATCGGACAGTCGGCACCAGTAGGCACACCTTCCCCTCACAACCTGTCAGAGGGCGAAAATGTGATCAAAACACGTTCATTAGGGACTAAAGCCCCTTAGGTTTCCACAATTTTCCTTCTCCTTAACGATGCCGCGTCTATACGGGGCATGTAACTTAGAGCTTTAGATGTCATGCCGATCTCACCGTAGTTAACATGGGAAGATTGGTCCCCCTTTTTATAAGGTGGGATGATCAACCACCATATGGAACATCCCGAAATCACTTGTTGCAAAAAATAACCCATGCAATTTGGTCAGTAATTTATTGTCACCATTTTATAGCCCGTAGGCATATCACTGAGTTCCGCTCCCTAGCCTGCATGTAGATCAAAGATGGATTGATGAGTGATGGATGTTGGGCAAAGTAGTGTCACTCCTTGTGCCTGAAGTTAGTGTTTTCTGTGCGCAGGTGGTCATTTAAACAGAAATGCAAAGGATAACCGCCATAGCTGCTTTGTCGGTATGAAGTCTAGGAAGCCAGTCGGTCACGCTGCTTAAACGACCTCTAGATCGTTGGCCGTTGGCTTTGGCTTGAAATGAAGCTCATGACTGTTGTGTAGCTATTCAATAGTAATAATCTGTCTTATTCCAAAAACAGTATTTATAATACAGAATGTTTACACTTTCGAGAAAATAAATAAATAAGAATGGAAAATTGTGAGGATTGTAAATATAAGAAGAACAATGGCAATAAAGCTTGACGTTATATGGGTGGAAAAAGTGATTGGTTTACTAGTGCAAAGAGGTTTAGTTAGTTCATGCCTGACACTATTTTCATCACATAAAATACGTGCTTGGTTTGAGTTTTATTGACACCGTCTACGACTCTTCGGCCTGGCCCACCTGGCCTGGTGGCCAGGTTGCTCTTAACACCATCCCAACCAGTAAAGGGAGAATATCATAGTTACATCTGTTCTAGTGTGAGTTTGCTATGGCATACAGGCACAATCACACCACAAAGCAGCAACTACGCTCTTGTCCCTTGAAAATTCACTTTTCCGGGATATGATTCAATCAGTACAGTCAGACAAACTGATTGCTGAAGACACAATGAAAGAGGTTCAACTGAAGTGAGGAATTTCTTTAGTCCCTTACATGAAATCCAAAGATTACTAAATATACTTATTGGATTTGCTCGTCTTCCCTACATGAGTACTGCAGTCCCTTGCTAAGATGGCCATATTTGAGCGTTTTTACCTTATTAGTCAACTAGATGGCTTTCAGCAGAACTAACCCTATATTTCGTCCAAACTAAGTCCTGCTGTTTAGTGAGTAGAGACTAGGAAAATGCACCGGAGGATATCATAGGCTTTCCTACCGGACGCAAAACACGGCAGTCGTCGGAAACATTTCAGGTGGGGGGTTTTCTGCTTGCAACGCTACTTCTACACTGGTAATTCCAAAAGATGATGTGTAGAATGTACGAGACGGATGGCTGCGGCATCTTTGTCCCCTTAACCTTATGATAAAGACCAAGGTCAAAAGAGTTGAGAACTCATAGATGCTTCATAAAAACTCCATCTGAATCCTTGACTGAAATGAGAAACGCTGAAATAATAAATAAGCTATTGTGGTGTACCTATAAGAGGAGACGTTAACCAAATCTATCTTTCTGTTATTAAAAATTGCGGTATCATAAACTAGAGGTACAAACTGTGAAACTTCTCTGGCATATGATTGACCAGGGTGCTCATGAATGTACATTTCACCGGCTGTAACCTCAATAAAAACCAGTGTTGTGACCCCTGTGTGAATAACTCTAGAAGAAGATACGACTCGCGTTATTCATTCCGGAATCAGAAACAAGCCAAGGTGTCCTAAATATATTTGTATTAAAACCAAAATAGTTGAAGATTTTGAATGATTTTTGTTCTATTTAACAGATTACGTCAGGTAATTATGTTGTTAATCTTCATTTATGCGGCCATCCACCATCTAAATACCAAGAGAACAATGGCTGGATACAAGCTGGCTCGTTGTTAGCGAAATGTGCATTCCAACAAAATGTAAAAGGGTCTAATTAACGTGATAATTTAGAATGATGTATAAAGTGCAATTAAGGTATTTGAAGGTGCAATATCAGACGTAACAACAGGGATGCAGTGTGATTGTTTTGCATTTTATTTTTGTTCTTATCCAGAATGAAGTCAGCTGAGTAACAACATGGAGAATAAGAGTACAGCCTTCCAAAATGTAAAAAGTTTCTATATTCCTGGAAAGCCATGTGAATTCCCTGCACTGAATACCTAGCTGAGTAGTGAAGCATTCTATCCAAACAAGGCGAGGTAATCATGATGACCGTCTCACAGAGTTTCTGCAGTGAAGTATACTGAGGTGATCTCAGGTGCTCAGGCACATTCCCTATGGTACCTTTAATTCGTTTTGAGTAGAACTGCTGTTTTATAAAACAACTTAGGGCTTCAGTGACATCTCACAACGTTGTAAGTAGGAGCGCAGATAATTCCAGTCTAATAATCATAACCAAAATAAGAAAACTAGAGAACTGTTAGCATATTTTCAGATGTTCTTTTCACTGGACCATAGATAGCGAAAGCAGTAGGAGCACTGCAGAAACATCTTGGCGACAGACTTTGAGCGCAAATGGGGTTAGAGGACTCGCCGCGTAACCAACGTGTTTCACAAAGTGTTTGCAGTTTGCACGAAGTGTATCGCAAATCTAGGCATTGTGCCCTACCTCATATACTAATAGGCCCAAGTAACAGAAGCCTCCGACTTCATACACACACATTCTTTATAACAGAATGATGTGCTGATATTAAAAGCAAGTGAAATTTGAGAGATCAGTTATTTTTAAGTAATGAAAAAATTACGGTATCAACGTTCGCAAATTGTGCGGAGTATACTAACGCAAGATCAAATACCAACAACTTCTATAATATTCGTTCCTCGTGAACCAAAGGCAAAGCAAAAGACAGTATTTGATCGTCCAAACTACGAGATATATTTCGGAAACATTTTGTGGACTGAGGTGAATGCTTAGCTGGCTAGTGATCGTGCACGACGGAGTACCAAATGGCATGGATGCTTGACCGGAAGCCTTCAGCTAAACAAGTCGACTTAAACAGTGAGGGTCAGCATCCAGTGTTGAGTGATGATTGCTGTTGTCAATAATTTTGGGGAATTATTAACCGCTACAACATCCTCTGTGTACTAACAGCGGTTCAGAAGAGGCTGTCTTTTAATGTAACTGACTGGGAGCTTTCCTTGTTCTGCATCTTCTCCTTATTCAAATATTTGAGAGTCTAGAGGTAGGCAAGGTGAAGATTATTGGTATAACAGGGACCTTTGTTGTTTTCTGATTCGTGCCGTTAGCCATAGTTAGACGTTGTAGGACTACAGTTTAACGGATGTTTTAGCATCCTCAGAGGTCGTTATTTTGTCCACGCCGTATTGCCGATGGAAACCGTTCACGATACCCAAACAATACAGTGAACAAGGGAATTCGCGTGAGTATCACGAGGTTATACATACTCATCTGTCTGAATTCTTTTTCGCTACAGCCGGTCACTCACGTGCCGTTTTTCTGATCGAGTAAGACATTTATCATCCAATTAGCATACTTGGTGCTATCAGAATCTACCAAGGGATTGAAAAGTCCCTTAGCAGTATTTTTCGTTTGATAGTTTGGTTTGGACATCACCGTGTCACAGTTATCTGTAGTTTTTCTGAAAGCTCCACAATGCCAACAGAACATAGCCGCATGACGTCTCTCTCCGTGGCGTTCCTTACGGTTATCCGTAAAAGATTTGTCTGAATCACTCCAAAGTGTGTTCGCCTAATAATTAAGACAAATAATTCCTTCTATTTACAGCAATTGGTGGCCATTTGTACCAATCGAAGGTCATCTGACTGAGCGCCAAATGCGCCCCAAAGCGCCACCCTCATGAGATGAAAGGTTTGGGGTTTTGTATTGCGTCTAACATGTTAACAGTGTTAAGCACCTTTCACCTTGTCTTGCAGAAGAGATCTTATCAATGTGTATCTAGTGACCAGATTTTTTGTCTGTGCGTATTAACATCTGTCCATCAAACAAAATTTCTTTGTACTGTAAGGTTAAACTAATCTTGAATACATATATCCGTGCGCGTATAATTACTTATTCATGTTCGCAGTCCGGAACCATAACTAGTCAAGGTTTAACATTTCTTTCCGCCAAAAGTAAGTAGATTCTCATAACAACAAGTTACGAATGGTAGTGGATGTACACAGCGAATTACTTAGCTACGATGCACAGTCACCCATTTTGGTCCGGTAGGACGTGCAGTGTGATATGGTACTTCTCCTTCCCCATAGTTAGAACTATATCTCCATCCGATCCGGAGAGTATCACCCATATCCCTGAAATCCCAAATAAGCAGCTTACAGAACTGATAGAATAAATGCGTAATAACTCATTTAGCTTCTTATTTGATGCTAAGCCTAACATTAGAAGTATCTATCATATTCCCCTAATGCTTCTCATGTTAACAAAGTTCACATATGCTTCTACATAAATGTATTCCTTTGAAAGTTTTGACAATTCCATCTACTCATAATGACCTCCGCATGACGACTAAATCAGTTATTTGCTCATTCTAAACATGCATAATTACATCATTTTGGTGGGTAAATGTAGTAAGTTTGATACCACTTCAGTTATTCGATCTTTTGCTCTGTATGATGTGTATAGCAATTTAGTCTGGCTGTCACGTGGTGAAATATGCTTTTGTGGCTCTTCCATATTTTTGAATCACCTGTCATAATACAAATATCAGTTGTTTTTAGTCACAGATATATGTGTTATTGACTTTTCTGTAATTTAGCAGTCATTATCTCGGAATCACATACTGAACCTACTCTGAAATGATGACAGTTCTGTTAAGTGATTATCGATAACATTCAGCCGCGAAACTAACACATTTTTCATGTTTGGGTCGCATATTTGATCTAAATACAATTAATTTCTTCAAGAGTTCTTCAGTAACTTCACATACAGGGGTAAGAAGAGGTCAGATTTCGACTACCGACTGACAAACTCCTGAACCTTGCCTATCAGATCGTAAGCTCGGGTACAAAGGGAGGAAGGTTGATCACGAAGCTAGTAACCCCACTTCGTAAGGTTGACATCACTGCTACTGTGGCTTCAAAATTCAAGCCCTTTGTCCCACTCGGAACGCAAGGAGTGGGAAAAGTCCAGGTGAATAAATGTACTGAGCTGTTAATCCTACTGGATAGTTTCACTTGATATCATACACTTGTGTCATATAGCACAGATCATATTGCATTAACTAATGTCATTTTGAAAAATAAAAGTTCACTCTACAGGCCGTGAAAAAATCCAAGTTATTGAAGTGTGATCACTTTCATAGCATTCCGTAAGTGTAGGGAAATCAAGAAATCTCAAGTAATAGACACGAAGCGCTAGACGAAAGAAATAAGCCACTTGCAAAACTGAGTGAACTGTATACATGAGTTTGTGGTCTTGTTTATCGTTTTACTTGTGTTTTTGAGCCTTACGTATTCGTCTGAAATGATATTTCTAAACGAATAGATAAGAGGTCACTCAGTTCAGTTTATACATTGTCATGCGCAAAGTAAACCTTTAGGGTGAAGTAATAAGACTAGATTTAGAAAAAGCCACAATGACAAATGCACCAGGATAATATGAGGTCATCTTTTATTATTTCGAGGAGTCTTCTCAACTGCCTACAACCTGAGCAATACAAAAGTATTAATCACCACAATGAAGATTTGAACTTTTTCCTCAATGACAAGGAGTAGTTAATAGGAACTAGGAGTAAGATAAGTCTAAAATGATGCCAGTAGTAGAAGGATTGATTAATTGTAGGATAATTAGGCCAATACTCTTGAGAACAGAGCTTAAAATTTCTCGATAGAAATGAAGTTTAACTAGAAACAGTATCACAGTATCCTAGGCTACTTGACTACAGACAATGTTTTCACAAAATGGTGAAAAAGGTGGGTAACTTTCAGATAAAACAATAGAATTTTCTAAACAGAAGAGAAGATATTGTAGAATGCATGACATAATAAAATTTTATACTTTGTTATTGAAGGTTAATCACTGAGGTTGTGAAAGCTTCACCACTGTCTCTTTCTGCATACATTTGGCTTTAATCATTTGATGGTGATTGCCTCGGCAAAGTGTAGCAAAATAAGTTTCTTTTACCTGTTGATTATTTTCAATGCCGTCAGATTTTACACAGCAATTCGTGTCCAATAAATGCTGCGCAAACACACTGCTTAATGCCAGTGAGTCCTTTACTCTCACTTTCTTACAACATTCCAATCTTATCTTACTCCTTGTTCCTATCAATTACTTCTTGTCTTTGAGAAAATACGTTCAAATTTCTATTGTAGTAGCTTAAATTTTTGTTTTGTTCAAGTTGTAGTCAGTTGAGAAGACTCCTCGAAATAATAAAAGCTGATCTCATATTATCCTGTTGCATTTATCTTTCTTTTCCAAGTTTCCTAATGGATAGATGTGTTTGAATTCTTTAATTAGACGAAATTGTGTAATCGATTTCTCCATTTAACCTGTAATTCGTACTTTTTCTCATTTATTAATAATAACTCTGTGAATCACAAGATGAAGCGTCTGTATCTTATTTTTCGGATAATGTCTATTTATGTACTTGACCAGTTTGACAAATGGATTTAAAAAAAACTTTCACCATTGTACAGAGTCGTTATAAATGTGTTACGACCAAAACTTGTTTGGAACGCTCCCATACTTTCTGATACTTGTGATGTCATAAAATCTACTGGGTAGGCTTTTAGAGACATATTGTGTACACCGGCCTCCTATTTTGCTCACACATTACTTTTGTTCATCATTGGTCATAACTTTATCATATATGAACCTTTTGTTCATAGGGGTTTCAAAGGAATCTTCAAGTCATAGTGACTTACTGCGCATTAGACAAACATTGCCTGTCTGGAAGCACAAAGATGCAGTAGTGGACGCTATTGTGAAAAATGATTATTGTGTTATCGTTGGTTCAACAGGATCTGGCAAGACTACTCAAATCCCTCAGTTTTTGTATGAAAAGAATTTAACTACTGGCGGCATTGTTGCAATAACTCAGGTAAAGGTTTTTTTAATCACACCAGCCTACATTGTCCACTCCAAGCGGTAGAGACAGTGGTTGTTAGTGGTGTATTCTAAGTTTCTGAGGCTTTTTTAGTCTGTTACGTTCGCAGTGGAACATAGGGCTTCAGACTAGAGCTTTAAAGTTTCGGTTGCAGTGGTGTTTACTTTTACGGGATAGGGTTGATAGCCTCATGCCCAGCGTCCCCTCTTTACCAGTCTTATTACTGCCTCAGTGAGGTTAGGGGGTGCGTCGGCCGGGGACCGAACTCCGAACCACCTGAGTGGTTGGCGAGCAATCTACCGCCCTGCCACCGACACCTCTGGTGCTTAATCGTGTTGAATATGAAAGGGTCTGTAGATTTTTTAAAGATTGTATTCATGAAGAGTCAGTGTTAAATAGATCATCGCTGTGAACTGGCATGCAATGGTTATCCCAAAGTTGCACTACTGGAATCATTATAGTGATAAATCATAAAGTTTAGGTCAATTCTTTGGAATTCAGTGACTGTTTTTTAAGATTTTTATAAAGTCCCCTTGTAGTCACGCGTAAATTTTCTGCAGAATTATCATTTTCTTCAAGAACTTTTTTCATAATACGACATTTTGAAGTAGTTCTTATCTCAAGTCAATAACTAAAATTCTCCAGAAACTATGAAACACTGAATAGCTGTTTCGCCATGGCTTTGGATTTTTCAGCAATGAATAAATGCTTTGTCTGTGCTAATATATATCAGTATAAGTTAGATATTTGTACTGTATGTTCTCAGCTATACTTGTGCTATGTAAACTAGTATTACCACCAAATCACTCAAATTTTGGTGCGATATTTGTGAGTGGGAGCCGCATCCTGATAGGAAACTGTATTTGTTAGCATTGGAGGATCCGAGATATACCCACTACAGAGATAGTTGAGCATCTTACTTTACTTTTTACTTTGCTTCGGCTATCTCCTACGGAAGGATGAGCCGGCTTCATGAACTTCTCAAATCATCGCTACCCAGGCGCAGCGATCTGATGAAGAGAGTTTATGAAGTTTCATGGGAATTTGGTACGAGTGATGTCCCCAGAACCACTCGGCCTTTTGTTTGATAGTGCAGCTCTAGCCTTTACACAACCAAGTGTGACCTACAAGGCAGTAGGAGTGGAGTAGGGAGTCCACTATCCATTGGCAGCCGGTGACCGGAGTTCGGTTCATACGCCTTTTTGAATGGGGCCAGACATCCAGGACATCCAACAAGCCCTTTATCCATACGTCTGCCGGTGAGCTCCAGTGAGCTTCATACGCCAGTCGTTGGAGGTTTGGAGTCAGGGTTTAGCCATCTCCCCTAGACTGTCATCCAATGGACAGTCAACCCGGTGAAGAGGGCCGGGCATCCGCTTTCGCCCTCTCACTTTGGTGAAAAACACCTCCGCCACGTGAAGGCAGTGAGTAGGACTTCCTCAGGAGAGGCTATGTAAGACGCCCGGTCATATGGGAGCATTTGAAGAGGTGTGCGGAGGGGTGGCCAACCCGCAGCGCAAGGCACCCACCCCCGACCATCCTGAGGCTTTGGAGCATCCCAGTCCATATGAAAATAAACAGTCTTCTGTGATAACTACAGAGGAAGCAGCTTGACTAATGCAATACGTAAAAGCTTAGAGTCCACAATCATGCGTGAATTAAGTGAGGCTCTGGCAAAACAAATTGAAAAAACCAGATCATTTCCGGTGTCAAATAAATTTACATTAATATCCTGACCATTTGACAGGTTTCGGACGTACAGATATGCTTGCCGATGCCCAACACTTGCCATCTCTTGACCTGAAGATGATGTTTGACTCCAATGGTCAAAGGGAGATTTGATAATTTTTGAATGTGAAAGGATTTCCGAAAGCACTCTATTGGAACTCATACAGTCTTGTAAGAGCTTATGAAGAGTTATCATCTGAAGTGACAGCAACCAGTTGTAATTCAGTAATGATTGCCCTAGACATTTTTATCTTATCTCATAGGAGATGTAGTGATGTATAACTCTTGTCAAGTATTTCAGGGGTTGATTCGCTACAAAGTTGGAATTCCTCATTTAATGTACACAAAAATATCCTGCACTTTTCATTATGATGCTTTATCTTTGTTTTCTAAACTTTATTGTCACAATGGTTAATTTTTGCATCGGATATTCGCCTTGTTAGTAAGGATTGTTTAATTTGAAGTGACATTGATAGCTTCTAAATTGGTAACAGGCTTTTAACGCATGATACTCTTTTTATTATCAGTAGTTTTTGTGCATCAATAATGTGTTCATAAGAAAAATGTTAAATTTATTGAATTAAGCAATAATAAAATTACACATCTGTTATCATGATTTTTTCTCTCTATTATTGTCTTGTCCTTACAGCCTAGACGTGTTGCTGCCATAAGCATCGCATTACGTGTTGCAGATGAATTGGGTCAGGGTCCTGTAGGTATTGGACCAGTTGGTTATTGTGTAAGATTCGAAGATGTATCGAGTGAAAAGTCAACACATTTAAGATATATGACTGATGGTATGCTTCTGCGTGAAGCTATCTTAGATCCAGATCTTTCACGCTACAATTTTATTATTTTGGATGAAGCTCATGAACGCAGTTTAAATACTGACATTTTATTTGGAGTAGTCTTATCTGCAGCAAAAAGACGTGCCAAATTACATTCCTCACAAGAGAGTTCCCAGTTTGCGACCACGTTTAACCAACCGAATGGTTTAAGGAAAAACATTCAAAAGGGCAAAAAACCTCTTCCATTACTAAAGGTAAGTATTTACCTATGTACTTTTGTATGAAGGGCATTTTAAACTCATTAATTAGTATCACAGATATCACTATATATTCACTCTACTTGAGAACAATGAATATACGAAGACTTGTAAACCTATTAAGTATGAGCACTGAAGTGTTCTTCCATTAAAGGGTTCGCCTCACCAAACTATGTTCTCAAAATTCTCTGGGTCTGAGTAGGTTAATTGATTGACCGTGTATACTATTAAATACACTAACGGGTTACAGATTCTTTATAAACTAAAGTAATTACGTCAATATTTCTCACTGCTAAGTTAGTTAATTAATCGGAAATAACTTACACGGAGCATATTCCCTATGTACCTGGCTGTGAGCCATATCATCTAGCTGCATATTCTTAAGTAGGTGGGGTGGGACTCGAACCGAGAACCCATTGGCTGAAAATGGAGTACTAGTCTTCTTAACTATTTAACTGCAGCAACTTCTGGGTCTTCACTGGGAATTATAGAGTCACATATTGGGATATCTAGCACAAACGTTTTGTGAACAAACAAACTAAGCATTGTCTTAGAATTACAAATTTAAGTTTTGGTAATGTTGCCAACGAAATCTATAGTTGTCGCCTCCGATATGGAGTCGTGATAGGGTTACATCTTTTCATATCTGAATTCTACACATTACAACATGAAATACAGAATTTTAGAGTACCATTTTCAAATTGTGACATTTCAAATCAGTGAAATTGAGGAACACATGAATCAGCAAAGAGATCTCTTTTCGTTACTTCACTTCAGAGATGTACAATTATTTAGGAGGTCTGTGTATACAATGTGGGTTGAAAACACAGGTCAAAGGTTACTGTGAGTTCTGGTCTCTGGTCTGGATTCAACATAGAACTTGGCACCCAAGTGCAGCAGTTCGAGTTGCCACGTTCCAAATAGCACACAAAGGTAGACAAGAAGATGAGTGAAGAGAATCAATAGAGTTTTGACAAGTATAAGAGTGAAACAGAATGAGTAATGGTAGAAAGGAATATGAAAGATTACAGAGACTGAATACATCTGCGTAAGCCATTGACAACGATTTTGAGCCATGTCACCTATTGTCTCCAGCCATTGATTCTTAGAGTCCCGAGGGCCCCAACCCGGAAGTCTGCATCTCCCTAACTGACTCAGTTTAACTGTCAAGGTGGGATTCGAACCGAGAACCCATTGGCTGAAAATGGAGTACTAGTCTTCCTAACTATTTAACTGCAGCAACTTCTGGGTCTTCACTAGAAATTATACAGTTAGAGTCACATATTGTGATCTCTAACACAAACTTTTTGTGTTGTCTTAGAATCACAAATGTAAGTTTTGGTAATGTTGTCAACGAAATCTATAGTTGTCACTTCTGATATGGAGCCGTGATAGGGTTACATCTTTTCATTTCTGAATTCTACACATTACAACATGAAATACAGAATTTTAGAGTACCATTTTCAAATTGTGACATTTCAAATCAGTGAAATTGAGGAACACATGAGTCAGCAAAGAGATCTCTTTTCCTTACTTCACTTCAAAACTGAGCAGTTATTTTTTTTCCCTCACGTTCCCCAGTGGAACATAGGGCCTCAAGCTAGTTGCTTGAAGTTTCTGTAGCAGTGTTTATTATTATTTTACAGGATGGGGTTGCTAGCCGCATGCCCAACCTTTCCTCTTCACCAGCATTATTTCTGGCTTAGCGAGGTAAAGGAGTGCGTCGGCCGGGGTTTGAACCCCGGACCATGTGCATGGTCGGCGAGCGTCCTAACCGCTATGCCACCGACTCGAGCAGTTATTTAGGAGGTCTGTATACACAATGTAGATTGACAATACAGGTCAAAAGTTACTGTGAGTTAGTAAAAACAAACAAATCAAAGTGTATCAGTAATAACTATTTTTGAAAAATTAGGAATAGTCTTACGCAATCATGAGGACTGACAACTGCTTAGTTGAGTCGTTTGGAATTAATCGATCAGAAACAAGAGAACAAAGAATTAAAAATGGGCCGCAAAACCATTGAAATAATAAAACGGAATACATCCAGTTTATTATACAATTATTCCGGAAAACGATAAAGGAAAAAAGCTAGTACTAAGGCCATGGCAGTGTATGAGGCTGGATAAAATGTTTCTCAATGCAAACCTCAGGTTTCCTCTTATGGATTACTAAGGCTTCGGCTGTGTGGAGGAGATATAGGCAAAATTCTTTCGAGCGACTTGGTCGTACTTTAAATATGCTTGTGAAAGAAGTCTCTGATGATACTGCATGACCGTAAGTAATAATATGCTCCAAAATTGAGCTGTTGACTGTCCTATTTTCTTCTTTTGCCAACGAAGCCATTAAATGTTCATGGGTGTGTCGAGAGAATGTCCTGCTGGTATGGCTTATCTACCTAGCTCCACAGAAGCAAGTAAATTGGTAAATGCACATTGAATTTAGCAACTATGGGTTCTCGTCTTCGGCGTTATGATGAACAAGAGCATGTTTGGGGAAGGTGAGGCGTATAGATGCAATGAAGAGCGTTCTTTGAACCGCTGTCGATAGACGGCTTCGATGAATCTCTGATTGTATCTCTGTCGAATTTCAGATTTCCAGTTAGTGGTATCTTCGCTACATCCAGGTTTCTCAGAGGGTTGGTCTTCATCTCTAGATGTTTGTCGATGAAGTATGCTGGATATCCATTTTTGATTAGAATGTTTCTGAAGGACTCCAATTCCTTATCCGATGTGTCTTCAATGCATATTTGATAGATTTTCGTCGCAAGAGGTGAGATGAGATTTCCTTTTCTGTTTACTGGGACAAAACTGATAGTTTGTCAACTGTCCATTCCAGTTTGCCTTGTGGTAGATTGATCTTTGTAGGTACCGTGATGGTGAGCCGTCTAGCATGATGACCACATAGCTAACTTGACTGATAGAATTCAGTCTGCACCAAACAAAGGGCTTTATGCATGTTATCAGTTACCACCCAGTGCCCCATCAAAGTGTGCTTGCCTTTAAATTGAGCCATGGTTCCTTCAGCTGTTTACATTTATTTATTTATTTTTTTACTTTTGATTACAGCTTGATGCCACGCCGTATTTTCAGCATGGATATCGGTAGCCCAAATTTCGCAGGCCGACCATAGATATCGGGTGTGCGTCGGCAGGGGATCGAACCCCGGAGCATGTGCATGGTCGGCGAGAGTCCTAACCACTGTGCCACCGACGCACATCAGTGTCCGATGACGATTTTTGGTATATGGGGCTCGAAAGTTCGCTGTTTAAGGTAACACCAAACAGCTTACTGGAGTGTGGAGATGTGGCTCATTGCTTCGGGCGCTTGACTTTCAACCAGTGGGTTAGGAGTTCGAACCCCACTCCACATACCGAGGTTTTGTCAGCCGCGGGCAGTATAACCAGTCCTCATACAATAGCTGTGATTCATCGCCAATTGTATGGAATTGCAAGTGGTTTCTAAGTAACTCCAATTGATTCGCTGGAGTATCAGCCAAATCGATATCTAGTACTGCATAGCTTCTGTAAAGTTACTCTTAAATGCCTTGCGTCATGACAGCATTTGGTAAAAATATTAAAAATTATCCCTTTTTGTAGTAATCTAGTAGTTTTTGATTCTATAACTTGACAATTTTTTTCATTGTTTTAATTGATTCTTTCAGATCATCGTAATGTCAGCTACCATTGATCCAACTCCTTTCTTAAATTTTCTTGGTTCAGATCATACTCAGGTTGTGTACATAGAAGGTCGACTTCACCCCATCAAGATACTTAATGTTTCTCAGTCCTTAACAGATTATGTGGCCGACGCGGCATCTGTTTGCATTCGAGTAAGCTTGTTTTATTTTTGAGAATTTTATCAATAGAACAAATATTTAATTACGTTGGTTAACAATATCCGTATTTTCATGAAATAAAGAAATCAGATAATCAATAATCCTAGTTTAACTGAGTTGTAATATTGATAAAAGGCGAAATGTATTAATATTATTATTGAAATCTCGTATTTACCAGTACAGTAAAAGTAAAGTTGTGTTGACCGTATGAAGTAATTCTAGATTGGTTACAGGATTTCATCATGAGCTGACGTCGGTTAGAGAACCATTGGAAAACCAGCAGGGAGTATTGGACAGCTGTTTCGTCAGCCTAGTTTGGGACTCTTCAGCACCAAACACTTGAATAATTCTAGATTGTCAAATCATTGAAATTTATCTAAAGAATGTCATGTGTTTGCATAATACAATCCGAACAATACTTGTCGATTCAGTTCACATGAGATTGAGGCAATGACCAAGTGGCTTACTGGCCAACAGTTTGGCGTTTGAAACGATGGATACTAGGGTCGAGTCTCATTGGTAACACCATCACTTGGCAAAGATGGTAGCACATTCAGTTGGCGAGTCCCAAACAGGACGAAATGTATATACTGGGTTCCACTGTCATTCTCCACCAATCGAAATAACATTAAGGTTGATTAGAATTTAAAAAGTGATGGAAGATTTCGGGGTGAAAGGATTAAAAGTCTTCGTAGCATAATCAGGATAACGAGAAATTGTTTTTGTACACATTAGGGGGACTTAAATTTGTGAATAGTTAACATTTTAACGAATTTCACGCTATTTTAACATTGATATTATCATTTATCTCTGTGTCCTGTTACGAATGAAGTTGATCTACCACACTTGCATTTATTTGTTTTTCAAGCTATTTTCTAACCCTCAACTGCTTACCACCGTCGCATTATTTCTTATGTATGTGTGCGCCTACAAACACATGTAAATTGTTATGTAATGTGATGCATGACGTAGTTACCTTGTGCAATGCTGATGTTTGTGGCAGAGTTTGTTTTTCGTTTTGTGTAGAGGATAGTCATCTTTACAGCCTATGCTTCACACTATCTCAGTGATAAGTTTAGAATATGACAGTGACTGGAATCTGTTCTCACTTAAAGCATATATATACTATGCGACTACATCTACCAGTGAAATAATTAAGATTTGAAGCTTAGGCGGATGATTTTCTTGTGATTGTATTCTCCGAGATGAGTGGTTTAATTGCGAAAGAAAGACCATGCAAGTGTTGCAATCACACCATACAACCACATTAAATAGATATATACCATTGTTTGTGTGTACAAAAACAATTTATTGCCATCCTGGTATTCATTTAATGATGTTACCGGCTTAATATTTCACCCTTATCATTCTCTTTACTCGTAAATCTCCTACCGATTTTTGAATTCTAATCACCCTTGGAGTTATTTGATTGGTGGGACTTGTTAGCTGGATGTGCTTGCATTTCTCGTGAAAGATTGTGTTCCTTCTGAGACTCAAACACCAATAGCTATCGTTTCAAAAACCAAAGTGTTATTCACTAGGCTACTGAGTCTCACTCTCTCTCTCTGTCGAATTTTGTACTCAACACTAATTATTCGTAATACAAGGCAAATTAATATTTAAAAGTAGTATTGACTGATGTATCACCTTGAGGCCTCCGATGGAGTATATTTTGAAACATATAACCTAGTGATTAGTAGTCGACTATCCAGTACCACTGTGCTACTTCCTGCAAGAGTTTTGCCTCTTACATATGAAGAAAATTTAAAAAAAACAATTCAGCAAACAAAATTGTCTTTATCGACGAAATCATCTTCAAAGGTTGTACAGTCATATTCATATTTACCAATAAATGTATAATAGTCCATTATTCAGTAATATGGGGGTGACAGTTGATATAATTTCTTAGAAGGGACTTTAGAAGTGAAAATAAAATTTATAAATTACTTAATGCTCAACGATGTAAAAGAAGAAAGTATTGGAAATTTGGTAGAATAAAAATTGTTATTGAGGGAGAAGAAAGGTAGTTGAATGTCCATTTAACAAGTATGAAGAGGATGAGAAAATTTACAAAAGGAACGTAGGAGAGTGATACAGAGTTCGGGGTTGTACTGACGAATTGCCGATGCCTCCGCCTTACACAAGTACCGAAACCTGACGCCCTTTGTACCACTTGGCCTGGCCTTGTTCAGTCTCTTATTCTACCATGGTCTTAACCTCTTCATTAGTCGTCCCTTGTGATTTTTCATTTTTTAATCATTAGTTTGCTTTTACTCTTGATAATTAATTCACTATCATCAGTCTCATTTCCCTTTTGTAAATTTTCTCACACTCTTCACACATTTTGAACGTACACTCAACTATCTTTCTTCCTACCCAATAAAAATTTTAACCACGACAAATTTCTAAAGCATTCTTCCTTTGTGCCGTTGAGTATTACGCAATTCATAACTTTTATTTTTACTTTTGAAGCCACTTCCGAGTACTTGTATCAGTTATGTCACCCTCCCCATATTACTCAGTAATGGCCTACTATACAGTTTTTTGTAAATATAAATACGGTTGTACAGCCTGTGAAGACGATTTCGTCAATAAAGAAAATTTTCCTCGCTGAATTATCTATTATTTTCTTACATATTACAAAGGATCTAAATTTAAACTGTGACATACTGATGTAACATTTTAACACCACATAAATTTTAGTTCAACTCTAATAAACACGATTAGACAGGACCACCGTGTTCATATGTTGTGTATTTTTCACGATAAAATAACAGCGTACGTATATTATTCCATATTAATAATAGTAGTAATAATTTGCTTTATTCCAAAACAGTACTTGTGATACAGAATGGAATTCTCAGCATTTTTACTACAGTATTGCATCCAGTTAGTACATTATCAAAATACATAATACATAAATAAATACAGCACACAAAATTATACATAGATTAAGGAAATCTCAGTTCATTATTACAACAACACATTGGCATGTCGGTAGCAAGGTAAGGTTGAACAGTGTTTGAAGGTGTTAGAAAAGTAGGAGCTGTCATATTTACTGGCGTAAGCGAGAGAAAAAAACAAAGCAGCACAAAAAGGAAAAAGAGAGAGATAATAGGAAAAGAAAGAAAGAAAATGGTGTACCTATAAATGATATGAGTTGGAAAGACGAGGTCCAGTTGTTGTACTGACTATTTAATAAATTATAGGTGTCACGCCTAGTGCTTTCTTTATCGCACAGAACACGAGCTAAGTAGGGTATGATTGAGTTTTTGTACTTGCTGGTGCGAGCATACAGTTTTCTATATAGGCTTCTGGTTTTACCTGATGAGATGCAACGGGAGAGTTGTGAGTGAAGAAGGTGGTGTGAGTTAGATAAAATGGATTTGGCCCATTTTTTGCATGAGTCCATGTGCCTGTCAACCAGAATATTAACAAGCTGGTTAAGTGGCACGTTGCTTACCCTGCTGATAAGTTTATTTTAGTAATCACACAGTGATGCAATATTAACAACTGGATGACGTTTTAAGCATAGATTACTGCTCACAGTCATATCAATTTTTAGTCCAACGGTTTCACAATTTGTCTTATATATATATATATATATCCTTTCTCTCTGTCTCTCCAACTTCCCTTTCTGGTCTGTTGTCACTTTCCATATCTCCGGTATAGGCATTGCGTCATTCCGATTCCACATGTGCGGTGTCGAATTGGTAAACAATAGGCATGACAAAACGCCTATACCGGAGATATGAAAATTGACAATAATTAACAAAGGGAAGTTGGAGAAACACTGTGTGATAATTAAAATAAACTTATCTAATATGGAGTTACATTCTACCACAGTGCCCCATTTCTGCACTTAATTTACGTATATTATTATTGTTATTTTACTGAATCTCTTCAAAGTGAGTAAAATAATTAGTGTTAGGCATGTGAAAGAAGATGAAAGCAATTAATGCACTGCAGGTGGGTTTTTGGCAACTTCACACTGTACAAGTTAAATTAAAAAGCAAAAATTAATCGTCATCTTTATACATCTGGCATTATCAGCATCATTATTTTCACTTTTTATTTCTACAGCTTAAATTCACTGTTTTTATACTGTAGTTGCTAATACTGCCTAATCTGTGCTGTAAAAAAGTGTGTATTTACATTGTGCTGTAATGCTCATCAGTGTTCTTTACGCTGATGTGCCAAGCAAATTGAACCACGCATGTGGTTGGGTTTTAATTCCCGGCGGATGTACTCCTCGTCCTCGGCTAGTCAGGTAGCAAAAGGAAGGTTTGGAGTGAGACCAGCAACGCCACCCCGTGGAAAAGCACTACAGCTACTGAAACTTGAGAATTCAAGCTTCAAGTCCTGTGTTCCAGTCAGGACGCAAAGGAATGAAGAAAATCATTTACTATCCTGATTATTTTAGCGTTCTCATAGTATATCGAGTTTAATTTCTTTAATAAATAAATAAATTTGCCTTGTGCCCGTAAGTTATTCTATTGCTCAGTAATACTTTTATAATGAAACTAATAGTTTTATTGTATGGAGGAACGAAATTTTTATGTGTAAATTCCGTGTCTTTAAATGTTTTAAATAGATTCATAGATCAAACAATTGTCCCTTGGATCGTGGTATTTTAATTTTTCTGACTGGTGAAGAAGAGATTATGCGTTGTTGTTCACTTATCAAACAACTGTTCCAATCATCGAATAACGAACAAGGAAGTACACAAATCAACTCGATAAACAACAGACTTGAAGTATTTCCACTATTTTCATCTCTACCTCAGATCCAACAGATGAAAGCCTTGAACTTTTGTGATGATGTAAGTCTTTATGATACTCTTCTTCTTTTCGTTTTTGAAATAGGCTTCTTCGTACTTTACAATCTTACTATTGTTTACTTTTTTTTTCTTGTCTAATTTTAAGTCGACTGACTTCTCTAATTGATGAAAGCTGACTGTAGAATAGTCCGGTTAACCGAGGTAGTCTCTAAAACTACAATGAATTGAGATGCACTTAAGAGAGAATGAAGATTAGTAGACACTTTTAGAATTGGGCTGATCACAAAGAATGAATTGCTTTGCAAACTTGAGATGAATTTTAAGTCATGTCATCAATATTCTAATATCATTGGTTCATAGCGTCTTGAGGACTTCAACCAGGGACTCTACAAACTAACGCATTCTCATATGAGTTTTATATTAGTTGTTTTGTTCTCATTCTGTCACAGTGTTCATGTTCTCTCTTCTAAACACCTTGAGCAGCAGTCTTCGGATGTTTGGTATACGATTTGATCCCGTCAGATGTAAGATGGTGCTACAGGACTGGACTACAATGACTCCTGGCTTAAAGATAGGGGGTGAAATGGTTGAGCGTGTTGATCACTTCACTTATCTGGGGAGTTGCATCAACCAGCCCCAACGGGTCGGTCGCTGACTAAATCTTAGTACGGATACAGAAGTCTAGTTTCGCATTTGCCAGTTTACGCCGTCTCTGGCGTAGACGTAATATATGACTGTCTATCAAAGGGCGTGTGTACTTCTCACCAGTTCGCTCTATCCTCCTTTATAGCTGTGGGATATGGTCATTGAAAATGGAAGACATGAAAAGGCCGCCTAGTTGTCTTTGATCATATGTGCCTGCATTCTATCTCCTGTGTTAGGTGGTAGGTGTAATAGAGTGATCGATATTGAGGTTAGGCATCGGTCGAGCGTTAGGTAAAGAGGGGAAATCAATCGACGAGTTTGTGCAGTTATGTCGATTGAGAGAGATGGTTAGGACATGTGTTACTCATGCATGCCTAGTCACTGCCTTCCTCGACGGGTAATGTTAGCTGACATAGGATCAGGTTGGGAAACAGGTGGTGGTGGTCAAGCCAAAATATGCCTTCATCAGTCAATGAGATCCACAACAGTTAGTTTTAGTCAGCCACGTAGGGAAGTGTAGACTTCCGGCTTGGGATGGTAAGAACCAATGTCTGGATACAATTGGAGATATGGCTCAAAATCGTTTTCGATGATGGCGCAGACGCATTCACTCATTGTTATTGGTAATATCCAGTGAATTCTATTGTTCTTCCATGTTACTATTCTTTTCTCCTCGCATTTCTGTGTATTATCTCTGTGTGTTTTGAATCTCCGTTTACTCTTTTCTCTTGCTTTATGTGCTACATAGAGGCAGTGTGGTTGCACATCTGTGCAAAGTTCTACGTTGGAACCAGTCAGTCAGTCGGTCATGTTCTCTCCTTGCGTTAATTCAATTACTTTATTTATCTCTGCGCCATATTGACAAGCAATAATTAGTTTACAGTACGAAAACAGTACTAAACATTCTACACTTCGTGTTTTCCCCCTTTTCTGGAAGCAATGTGATGTAACAAAAAGTTTTTTCAATCTTGATAAGTGTGCCTGACTGTTTTCGTCCTTTTGTTCACTATTATTATATTATTAAGAGCACACACTTGGTACCTTATGGGTGCCATGAGATGAGCCACACAAATTGTTTGCACCACCCAGAAGGGATATGAGTTCCTTCAAGGTTGCAGATACGCCTTGGTGACGAGTGCCAACTAGCATGAAATCTAGGTCCACGGCTTCCTGTCGATTGCTTCCAACCATCTAACATCAACTATTAGGTTCGCTCGGATTCTGGAGCGTATGTACACTATACGTTTAGAATCAAGGTTTTCCATCTCCCACTAATCTGGTTGTAATCTCCAAATGTTCCCATACGCCCGTTCACTTCTGTGCAAACACTCCCATGGTCTCTGTCTGTGTGTTTTCGACATAGAACTATGCACATATGTGCGGCAGTTCAAGTCGCCACACTCCATGTAGCACACAAAGGAAGAGAAGAAAGTAAGATATAGACAGTAAACAGAGGTGTGAGACAAAGGAGTAGTAATAACGAAGAACAAAACAGTTTCATTGGAAATCATAAGTCACAAGGAGTGGATGCATCTGCTCCAGCCATCAGTGAGAACGATTTTGAGCCATGTCACCAATTGTTTCCAACCATTGGTTTTTACCATCCCGAGGGCCCCAACCAGGAAGTCTACATCTTCCTACGTGGCTTAGATTAACTGTTGTGGATTTCATTGATTGGTGCCATGTTTTCGTTTGACCGCCGCTAGCTCTTTTCCAGCCTGACCCTATATCAGCTAACATTGCCCGTCGAGGAAGGCGATGACTAGGCATACGTAGCACATGTCCTAACCATCTCAGTCGAAGTAATTTCACAGTCTCGTCGATTGATTTCCCCGCCTTACCTAGCACTCGACGCCTAACCTCAATATTGCTCACCTTATTATACCACTTCACGCGAGAGATGGAACGCAGACACCTATGATCGAAGACAGCTAATCTTTTCATGTCTTCTGCTCTCAATGGCCATGTCTCACAGCCATAAAGGAGGACGGAGCGGACTGTTGAGCAGTACACACGCTCCTTGGTCGATAGTCGGATATCGCGTCTACGCCAGAGACGGCGTAAACTGGCGTATGCGAACCTAGCCCTCTGTATTCGTGCTGAGATTTCGTCTGAGATCAACCCGTTGGGGCTGATGGTACTTCCCAAGTAATTGAAGCGGTCAACGTGCTCTACCACTTCACTTCCTATTTCTAATCTAGGGGTCGGTGAAGTCCAATCCTGCAGCATCATCTTACATTTTACAGGGGCGAATCGCATGCCAAACATTCTTAGATTGCAGCTCAAGGTGTTCAGTAGACTCTGCATTTTGTCAGAGTTCTCGCCTAGAAGGACTATATCGTCTGCATATTCTAAGTCAACGAGATTCTTCCCTGGTAGCAAGTCAATCCCTGAGTCGCTGAAGTGTGTTAGGGTTAAGTCCATTAGTACGTCTATGATGAAGTTGAATAGAAATGGGGATAATGGGCATCCTTGACGGACGCCACTAGTCGTCACCATTTCAGATGACAACTCGCCATAAGCCCTCACCTGGCTGCATGAGTACGAGTAGAGTGCCTTAATCAGTGCAATGTATTTTCTCGGCATTCCCTTTACAGCCAAGCATCGCCAGAGAACCTCTTGGTCGACAGAATCGAATGCCGCCTTTAGGTCAAGAAATATAATGATTGTCGGACGCCGGTAGGAATGCCTATGTTCTAGAATCTGTCGAAGGGTGAAGATATGATCAATACACCCTCTACCTGGCCTAAAACCTGCCTGGTTTTCTCGTGTTTGTGTCTCCCGAGCACCACTTAGTCTACGCAGTATTATTGAGCCTAGGATTTTAGATACTATATTAGTCAAGCTAATCCCTCTGTGATTATCACAAGAAGACTTGTCTCCCTTCTTGTATATCGGGATGATCAGTGACTTACACCAACCCGATGGGACTTCCTCTGATTCCCAGATGCTGCCTAGAACCTCAGTTAACGCAGACAGTAAACTGTCTCCACCGTACTTAAATACCTCTGGAGTCAATCCATCAGGTCCCGCTGCTTTGCCTTGCTTCAGATTAGTGGCTGCTCTAGTAACCTCAGTTAGGGACGGAGGACCTGTGTCTATATCCCATTCAGGGAGGTGTTGGATGTCCGGCAGGCTAAATGTGGATGTGGGCCAATTAAACTGCTCCTCATAGTGTTCTTTCCAGCGCTCCAGACGTCTATCCTGGGAGCTAATTATGGTGCCATTTTTTTCAGAGATTGTTTCGCTTATCATTTGCCTTTTACCACCTGTTTCCCTGATAAGCCTGAATAGTTGTCTGGTGTTGCCTATCGCCGATGCTTTTTCCATCTCTTTCGCCTTTGTCAACCACCACTGTTCACGGTCCTTGCGGAGACTTTTCGTAAGTTTCCTTTTGTGCAGCTTTCGCTCCTCATTGAATTCGGAGCTCGCCGGAATAAGTCTTCTAGCATCTATCAGTTCGGATGAGGCAGTCGAAATCCAATGGTTTTTACTCACCTTTGGATTTACCTTATTCACAGCTTTTACAGCTGTATCTATGGCTGATTGAATATTCTTCCAGGCTTCTTCAGGGTGAGCGCAGCTGTCGAACTCAGATATGTGTTTAGCTAGTTCTTCCTCAAATAGGGACTTAGTTTGCTGATCGAGCTGGGGACGTGATGGTTTTGCCGCCAGCTGTTTCCTACGTCCGTTCAGTCGTAAGCACACACGAGCGCGGACCAGTGCGTGATCGGTATCTACACACGTGTTCCAGAAGGAGCGGCAATCTCCTACCGACCCACGCCAACGATAGCTTATTGCTATGTGGTCTATTTGTGTCCAGCGTTGATTTGATGATGGGGGTCGCCAAGTCAAACAGTGTCTGTCCTTGTGTTTGAAGTTAGTGCTTACAAGAAACAAATGATTATCTGAACAGAACTGTAGGAGACGGTCACCGTTGTCGGTTCGCTGGCACGGGATTCCGTATGTGCCACCGACATTCTTCTCAGATTGACACAATTTCCCTACTTGAGCATTAAAGTCACCAGCTAAAACGACTATATCTGAGCGTTTAGCCTTTCGCAGCAAACTAGACAGCTTTTGGTAGAACTCATCCTTCGTTTCATCCGAACTGCAGTCAGTGGGGGCGTAGGCGGAGATTACGAAAAGGCATCGGCGGGTAGTGCAGTCCTTTCTCCTTTTCACTGATCCGTTCAGACGGACAGCACACATTCGGCTATCTACCGGGATCCAGTCAAGTAATGTCTTTTCTGCCCTAGTACTTAAAGCTATCCCAACACCAGCTAATCCTCGTGAGCTAGCCGTCGCATCTCCTGACACCCTCAAGGTGAATTTTGCAGATTCATCCTGTTGGCCAGGTGGGGTTAGGTGAATACCCACACTTGGGTCTTGTATGCGTGTTTCTGAAACACAACATACATCAATGGCTCGGGATGCTTGTTGTCCTATTTGGCAAAGTGTCCTAACATTAAATGCTCCTATATAAAATTGGTGGCGTGGTTTTAGGAGACAATCGGTGGTGGCTTTTTGGCTTCCATCGTTATCAGTGCACACAGAGTGAAGAGGAAGTGAAGAGCCAACAAATAGAGGAGTTGCATTGGTAGAAGGAAGGCAAGATAATAGAGATGAAGATGAAGACAAAGATGAGCGAGGATTAGAGGGGTTTCGCGTGCACTTCGGATTGTGAGGGCGATTGTTACTTCCCGGCTGCCCACACCGTGGAAGTTGGTTGCGTGACCGCAGAGCCCAGGGGACAACTGCTTGAGGCCGGTCACACACGGCCTGTTTTTGTTTGTTCTTTTTTATTTGGTGTGTCTCAGTAGCGTATTTATCACTTCTGCCCTGTGACACGGCAGCAGGAAGCGCGGTCGTTGTTAATCCGGGCCCCGACCGATCCGGCATGATATTTTGTGTTTTTGTTTGAGTCATGGCATTGGATTGGGTAGCTGCTTTTTGTCTAACTGCTATCCAAACAACCTTTCTGGCATGGTAGGACCTACAGGAACTTAAGTTCCAGCCAGTGTAGCTCGTTGGGTCATTGCGATATGCAAGCCCGACCACCACGTCAAGGTAGCAGCTTTCGGTCGGGAAACACTCCCATGGCGTGAAGGCAGTGAATTGGACATTCCTGGCAGAGGCTATGAACGCGTGTTCATGAAGTATTTTGTTTCTGTTTTCCTTACGTAACTGTTTTATTATTGTGTCGCAAATCTCCTTGTTCACATATTTCATGTGTTAAATCAAAAAATATCAGCGTTATCTTGAAACACTTTCTGGCAAATTTTAGTGAACAGATTATTTCCCTTATGTTCTCGTTTTATATATTTAGAATGCCCGAAAGGTGATTGTTAGTACAAATTTGGCAGAAACATCTATTACAATTCCTGGTGTACGTTATGTGATCGATTGTGGACGTGCTAAAATAAAGTAAGTTATCATATTAAGAAAAGTATAAATTCTCGTAACAATGTTCCTCTTGTTTATTTGTCCATCGTAGTTGTGTCCTCATAACTTATGCAGACTGTTTTAATCGGTGAACCTGTTTGTTGTAGCGTGTAATGTATAAAATTATTTTGACATGTGTTAAATATCAAGTTTTAATATTTACTTTAAGAAGTATTTAGATGTATGTAGACTTTTGGTGAAGGAATGTTGATTCAGAATTTGCTGCCTCTATATAGCAGAATTATGTACACCTTATCTTCAACTCACCATTTGCACAGATCTTCATGTTGTGGTACTTCTGGACTTTTGTGTTTCCTTGTGTTCATTTCACGTCTCCCATGTATCTCCACAGAGCTGTATCATTTGCCTTCGCTGAAACCGAATGTATCTCCCTGCTTTTTGATGTTTTTATGCCGATGAATGTCTCTTTATGTACTACTGATAAATCTTATCAGTAGCACACTCCACGTATTTCATATTCTTCAAGAAGTAAAAAAATGCTAATCAACAACCATGTGCAATTTACGTGTAATTAGCAGTGACTTACATTTATTGTATGCGCCGGTGGTTTGCTTGCTAACCACGCAAGTAGTGCGGGTTTTGATTCCCTACTGGTGCACTCGTAAACCTCACTTTGCCGATAGTAGGCTCGGTAAAAAAGGAATGTTGGGCCGGGCGTGAGACTAGCAACCCCACCCCTTAAAAAATCATAACCACTTGTGAAACAAAGAATATATTGTCACAGAGTACAGAAATCTTAGCATATTTAATTGGCGTTAGTATCATTCCATTAGTCTAGAAGATGCTAAATTATCGCACTTTTGGGTATTTTTACTTTTTCTCTTAACCATTTCCGTAAGCACGTGATTATGTCAGCAGACAGCCATCTTTTCTGACGATCTATGTATTCGTTTGCAAAAGTAGGCTGAAAATGATAAACAAAATTAGTAGCGTCAAGAATATGCGTCCGGTCTCTCTCAAAGAGTTGCAATATTCGCTTGGTGGTGTCTTGCAACATAATTGATTAGTTTTTTAAAAATGTCGAAAATTTTGTGGATTTTGATAATTTCTAAACATGAATACATTTGGCCTACTGTGAACAAGAATGTGTAGACACAATTCTTAGTACCCTGTTTACTCCAACATGACAGTGTACACTTTAGGTGTTTAAAATCAACGCCGGATGATTTTGTGAACTTAATGCGTTGTCTTGATCTTCTTCTGTATGACCCCTTTCCATCCTAGTCTGAAAAAGAGGGTGGCTCGACAAGTTTAACACATGTGTCGATGAAATCATCTTCAAAGGCTGTACAACCATATTTATATTTAACAAAAAATGTATAATAGTCCATTATTGAGTAATACAGGGGTGACATAATTACTCAGAAATGGCTTCAAGAGTAAAATTAAAAGTTACGTAGTATTCAATACCACAAGGGAAGAAAAGGTAAGGAAATTGATGAGGTTAAAATTGCTAATGAGTGAGGAGAAGAGCAGTTGAGTGTTCACCTAACACATGTGGAGAGAGAGAAATTTGTACAAGAGGAACATGTGAGAGTGATAATGGTGAATTAATTATTAAAGTGCAAGCAAATTAAAAGTAAATTTTAAAAAAATATTTACAGGGAACGACTAATGAAGAAGGTTAAGATGATGGTAGAATAAGAGACTGGACAAGCGTTTTCTGTATACAGAGTTCCGGGTTGTGTTGATGAATCGCCAGCGCCTCTACCATACACAAAAGCCGAAACTTAACGCCCTTTGTACCATTCGGTCTCACCTTGTAGATAATCTTGAAAAAAGACTCCGGTGGAGCTGCGTGGCCTGAGTTCACCAATTCCTCGAGGATTGAGCTAGTAATTGTCTGGGATTGTCCTCTTGCTAACCATACCGAATAATGTTTAGAGATATATTTGGAAAGTATGCGCTTTGTGCGCCTAACATAGCTGGTTCCACAGGAACAAGTGAACTTAGCAATGCACAGAAGAGTGACTCAAAGCAACAGATTATCCTTCACACATAGACTGATCATTTGTCGACTGTAGAAATTGATCTGTAGCTAAGCCGACAAGAAGAATTTTCTCAAGAAATTCATCTATACAACCCGGAACTCTGTATACAGAAAACGCTTGTCCAGTCTCTTATTCTACCATCATCTTAACCTTCTTCATTAGTCGTTCCCTGTAAATATTTTTTTAAAATTTACTTTTAATTTGCTTGCACTTTAATAATTAATTCACCATTATCACTCTCACATGTTCCTCTTGTACAAATTTCTCTCTCTCCACATGTGTTAGGTGAACACTCAACTGCTCTTCTCCTCACTCATTAGCAATTTTAACCTCATCAATTTCCTTACCTTTTCTTCCTTTGTGGTATTGAATACTACGTAACTTTTAATTTTACTCTTGAAGCCATTTCTGAGTAATTATGTCACCCCTGTATTACTCAATAATGGACTATTATACGTTTTTTGGTAAATATAAATATGGTTGTACAGTGTTTGAAGATGATTTCGTTGATAAAAAAGATTTTCTTCGCTGTATTCTCTTATATTTCTTTTATAACTCAATGGATGTTATCGTTGTTTTAACACCTTTTTTGTGTTTAGTTTGGTGTGGTTGGTATTGTTGTAAACGAGTTGTCGAGAGTTAAGTATATTTTAATTTATGGACTTCACAGAAGTCCGTCCAATCGAGTAATGAGGTACTTATAAAGGTCATCATCGTTTGGATGTGAAGATTTTCATTTATATTTTATCGAATTTATTTGAATTACGATTTCCACTGTATAGTTTGTTTTAACTGTGTAGACAAAGTTATTATTTATACTAATTATATCATCACAGGGACTGGGATCCTAAAACAGGTTTTGAATGTTTTCGTGTCCAGTGGATTTCAAAAAGTCAAGCATGGCAGCGTTCAGGTCGTGCAGGACGTGAAGCACCTGGTGTTTGTCTACGATTGTATACAGATTCAGAATATAAAAATATGCCACTTCAACCTAGACCACAAATTTTACGAGCTCCACTTAGCGGAGTATTGCTCAACCTTGTTTCAATGAATGTACAGGTGAGTAAATAGTCACAGAATGTCTTTTGTCTTTAATATACTTCATTAAATAAAAGCAGTGGTTAAAATGATATTTGAATTTCAATTCTATGAGCGAAACGTTATTGAATTTCAATGATTAACTGATTTGTATTCATCTAATAACAACGAAAACTGTGCAGATGACTGAATGGCGTGTATATGCCAATCTGACACCAGCTTATCTGTTGTCTCACTATCTTGTAGTGAAGCATTTACCTTCAGTACTGAACTAATCGAGCTCGATTTTCAGTTGGGATATGACGTACAGATATACCTTATTTATGGACGTCTAAAGGTTCCTGATGATTGACCCTAGCACTTAATATTAATAGTATTGTTACCACTAGTTCTGTTAGCCTGTATAGTAAGAATACCAAGGAGATAATGCAAGTGAAGCAAAATGACATCCCAACTTATTATCATTATTCTGTTGATTTACGAGGGGAACATGTGGTCTCGACAACACATCTCCATTTTGTCCTGTTCTCTTCAGTCCTCTTGAGCTGGTTCCACGATTGCCTATAGGATCTCATCCCCTCCCAACGCAATTTCCTCCATGTCACTCTTGGACGCTCAAATCATCGTTTCTCATTCGGGTTTCACTCGAACGATTGCTTGGCGTGCGATGCTACCCAGTGGTCTCTTCAGCGTGTGTCCGTCCCACCCCCATTTTTCCGGCCTACTTTTTGGCGATAGGTTCTTGTTGCTAATCCTTTATTGCTGGTCATCTGACGTTGAGTATAGAGCCACCGAAGGCAGCTGTCAATAAAAGCCTGCAGTAGCCTGCTTTTGGTGACGCGCCCATTTTCTGATCCATATAGAACTGATTTAACATTGGTGTTGAAAATGCGAATCTTGTTCTTTATGCTGAGTGAAAGCAGAAGATTTGCAACCTGGTTTCAAGTTGATGAAGGCGTATCTTGCCTTTCCAATTCTGGTTGGCTGGCTTTGACATCTTCATCTGCTCCGCCTGTAGTTAAAACGACGCTTCTTAGATAAGTGAAGGCAGTAACCTCTTTCAAATTTCTCCCGTTGGTAGTGATTGGTACCTGTTGTTGTTGGTCGGTGGGTCTCTTCATCACCTCTGTCTTCTCTATTTCCACTTGATGTCCTTTCTTCGCTGCGTGCTTCTTCTACCAACTTGTTGGTATCCTCCTGTAAGTCTTCGAGTTTGTGGGACATAAATCATCCGCGAAACCTAGATCTTCCAGAGTCTTCTTATTGGTCCAACGTATTCTTCTATTCTCGTTCCTCGCAGTCTGCTGATTATTGCAAAGATCCAAGTCCCTCTTTGTAGTTTGGCAAGGTGAAATTCCTTCCAATCAGTAGGTACCCTCCCTTCTGACTTTTCTGCAATATTGGCGTGAAGATATCTGCGGTTTCTGGGTTCGTTTTCAGTGCCTCTGTAGGAATTCCGTCTGGTTCTGTTGTATTCCAGGCTTTCAGTAGCTAACGCAAATTATGAATGCATTCGTAGTAGTGCATATCGCTTAGATCCGTCAACCGTCAGTTTTGTGTGATATGTGAAGTCCCGTTCTGGCAACTGACAGTTTCCCACACACTGGTTAATATTGTCTTTTTTGGATTACCAATTTTTCTATTTCAGTACTGTTTTTGTTTTAACTTTGTTTTTCTGGTATTGTTAGAATTTTATCAACTTGAAATGATGAATTTCGATAACAGATTCCACCTTGATTAATTTGTCATACATTAACAATTATTTCAGTGGATACTTTATTTATCCTGTCAACTTTCTGCCTTTTATTCATAGAATCCTAGTCAATTCCCTTGGCTATCCTCTCCTAAGCCGTCGTCTGTGAAAGCTGGAATTGATCTACTCCTCCGGTTGGGTGCTGTTGAAGCTAACGGTGATATGGAATCAAAATCGTGTAAATCTAGTGAACAGTCAACATCTCTTGTAGATAGCACTAAATTAAATAATTCCGAGCAAATACAATACCCATTATCCGTAAGTATTTTATTTTATTTTCCACATTTTGAACAGTCGCAAAATAAGAATGTTAGTTGGTTTTTAAACTCTTTTACTATATGTCGCGAATGAGCAGAAGTTAGAATTGATGGGCTGTTGGATTCTGTCCAGTGTTTTACTGATATACGAGTTCGCCTAACCTGAAGGTCTTGGGTTCAATCCCTGGTAGGGTCATGGGTGTGTGCTGACGGAGAGTCCCGAGCAGGGACGAAACAACTTTCCCAGTGCTCCTCGGCTTTCTCTAGCTGAAGTCAGTTCGTCTTCAATCTTGAAAGGCAGTATTCACCTCCTTATGATTTTTGACTTGAAGAAAGTATTTCTTATGTATCTGCGAATGACCGATGGATTAAAGAAGGACCTTGCACAGAATTACCTTAGTTTGAGTCGCCAAACCTCGAAACATCATTCATAAAAGGAAGGTAACAATACTGCAATAATTAAACATGTGTCAAAAGGGAAGAGAAAGAACACTGAATTAGTGTGAAAAAAGTGAAGGCTTGTGGTGCGTCCCTGGTAGAAAATGCTCGGTAACCACGTACGTGGTCTGGAGTGCTGTACCCGGTCGACGCACTTCCAAATCTTGTTCAACCGATGATAAACCGGAGCGTGAGATTAATAACCCTACCCGCTGCTACTGAAACTTGAAAGCTAAAGCTTGTGGCCCTGTGTAAATCAGTTGGAGCGTAGATGAATGAAAAAAAAATCGGGACTTATAATCATGATTCCTTGAATGTGGAGTGTTTCTAACGTCCACTTAGCAATAAGACTATTTTTAAAATTGTAAGAATTTTGTATTCTTATTTTATTTGTATTTCACCAAGTACCTGAGTAAATCTATTTGTTTTCTTTTTAATTGTTCTTTTTTTAGCTTACTGTTCTAGGCCGACTTATGTCAGCATTCCCCCTGGAGCCAAGATTTTCTAGGACACTGATCTCAGCTGCATATTTGGGCTGTCTTATCGAAATGCTTAGTATTATAAGCATGTTGTATGTATCGCCTGTATTTTATGTACCAGTTGAAAAACGCAATGAATTTTCAGATGTAAGCAAATATCAAATTCTTTTGTTACATCATATACTTCATGTGTTCATGGACAGTTTGTTTTTTAAGAAAACTTGCATATAAAGTGACTTGTTCATAGTTTCTTTTTGAAAAAGTTCACCATTCTGTCACCTGCGATGTTTCTCATTCAAACTGCATTACGTTTTGTTCCATTTTTTGTGTACCGAGTGGAACTCAAAGCTTCATGCTTTGAAGATTCACTAGCGATGGTGTAGTTTTTATGGGTTGGGGTTGTTAGCCTCATACCCAACCCTCCTTCTTCTTCGGGATTACTACCACTTAGGTAAGGTTTAAGAGTGCGTCGGTTTGCAGCCGAACCTGAACCTCCTTATTATTATTGTTACTATTATTAATAAAACCAATTCGAAACACTATGGGCTCCAGGACATGTGCCACGGAAAATCACATAGTATGTGCTAAGGCTGGGATATTGCCCGAACACCCAGACCCAAGCAGGTGATTGTCTTAAGGAATCCGCCTCCGATTCTTTGACTTGAAGTATGAACCACAAGGCAATGGAGCGGTGTCAGAACCTACGTCCCCATGGTTTCCAGTGACCGAAACAGGCTCATACAGAATTCGATCTGTCCGGATTCTGGAACCCGTATACATTATAGGTTTAGAATCAAGGTTTTCCAGCTGCCTTAGATAGATCTGGATGTCCACCAGTCTGGTTGTAAACGCCACACGTTCCACATTCGTCCTTTCACCCCAGGCTCATGAAGTCAGTGAATAGAACTTGCCTGGAAGAGGTTATGAACGTGTGGCAACATGTGAGCGTTTCGAGCGGGTAAACCGCTTGAAGTTGTTGATGAGTTTGTGTATCTGGGTAGTTGTGTGAGTGCTGGCGAAGGGGTGACTGATGAGATTTCCAACCGTATAATGAAGGCTAGGGTGGCATACATTAACTTGAGCCACCTCTGGTGCCGTCGCGACGTTAGCCTGGCTGTCAAAGGTTGGGTATACAATGCTTCGGTGCGGGCTGTCTTGCTCTACGCCTGTGAAACCTGGCCTCTCCGAGCTGAGGATGTGCGGCGACTCTGCGTGTTCGATCATCGCTGTCTCCGCAGGATTGCTTGCGTTCGATGGCATCATCGCGTGAGTAATTCTGAGGTTCGGCGACGTGTGTTTGAACACAGTGGAGATCACCATTCATTGAGTGTCGTCATCTGGAAACACCGGCTCCGGTGGCTTGGACATGTGCTGCGAATGTCATCCCAGAGGCTTCCGTACAGGTCTCTGTTCGCTGACCCTGGGACAGGATAGGAAAGGCGGAGGGGTGGTCATGGGATGAAGAATTTCTTTGCTAGATTAGCATGGGTTGGTGTGTCACAACTCCCTGGTCGGGGTCCGCGAGATAGGTCGAATCGATGGCTGGAAACGTTATCGGATATGGCCAAGAATCGTAATCAATGACGAACGTGTTGCAATTTCCTTCTTTCTTCCCTTCCTGATGATAGTTAACGAATACTGTTTTAACTTGTTAAACATGACTGTTTCCTTCCAGATGAAGTTCCATATCCGTTTTCCATTTATATTTTTACTTTTAATCTATGTTGTTTTATTATTATTGTGTGGCGCATCTTTCTTGGTACCATATTGTACCAAGTTTTTTCTTCTTCTGCGTTTAAATAAATTTAAATAAATTCGAGTGGAAGACCGAAGTCTACCAACCCACGACTGTACTAGGTCACTTATATGACCTCCTGCATGGCTGGCAAGCATAATACCACTAAATCTACCACTGTACAAGCCTTGTAACTGCTTTCTTCTCTTGTATTAAAACACTTCTTTACATATTACAGTTACATGTCTATTCTTTCTTTCGACCTTATGTGTTCACACGTTAAACTTAAGTTTTTTTCAATCTGGTCAAATATTGGACTGCCTGTAGTGAATCAAATGATCAGCCATTTCTCTGTTTCATAAGGCTTTTTTTTCATGTCTATGTGTTGACCCTTTTAAGGCCATTAGTGTATAAGCGAAAAACTAGCTACTTACTTGCATGTTAATTCGTATGTTGGCATATATTAGTCATTCACAAAACAATTGATAATCATTGCTGATTTGACTGAATCTACCAATATATGTCTAAAAGGAATAAACTTATTTTCTGTAGGTTATGTCTCTCTTTCTTTCTCTCTGCACACATTTTCAGTTAAATAAATAAATTATTCACTCCCTTAATGAAGTTGGTAGGTATTTTTGTATGTGTGGGAGGAAATCTACAATTACCTATTTTCAATTAATGGTTTTGTAGGGATTTTGTTTGATTGGTTGGAGGATTTCATCATAAGCTGACATCAGTTAGAGAACCATTAGAAAACCAGCTGCGAGTACTGGAAAGCTGTTTCGTCCCAGTTTGGGACTTTTCATCAGTATGCACCCACACTGCAGGGTTCGAACCCAGGACCTTCTGGTTACAAGGCGAGCTAGCTCATAGACCATCGAGCCACTGGGGACCCGATCCAATGGCCAGCCCATGAATTCCAACTTCTGCCAAATCAGGACATAGCACGACCACTTCGCAGTGTCTTTTTCGATGAGTCACTGCCTCACCTTCAACCTGCTGTACCCTACTGATCATGGCTTAACGGTCTACGAGTTCGCCTTGTAACCAGAGAGTCCTAGGTTCGAACCACGCAGTGTGAGTGCGTACTGCTGAAGAGTCCCAGACGAGGACTCATGATGAAATCATCCAACCGATTACCTATTGATGTATCTTCTTATTTATACCTTAGTGTAATCAATACAAGTTAATTTAACACAATTACCTAAATCATCAATATGATTATTGTTCCTCTGTCTAGGTACAGTCTCGATTTCGTCATCCATCCGGTGATCTTGTCAGTCTTCTTTTCATATATCGTGGATTTGTTAAAGCTGCAAAAGATTCTCGCTCTGAGAAATTAATCAATCATAATACGCCTACTTCAACAAATGTACAATCATCCTTTCAGTCGTCGCCAAAAAGTAAACTATCTAAACGGAATTCTAAACTTCAATGGTGTCGTTCTAATCTTATCAATCGAGCTCGTTTAGATACAGCTGTACGTGTACGTGCCCAATTGAAACAGATCTCACACGGGTCAGGATTAGGTGGTTATATGCATTCATGTGGAGAAAATGTAGAAAAAATTGTACAAGCTTTTCTACTTTCAGGTTTTCAAGATCAGGTAAGGTATTACAGCTTCAATATGTCTTGTTTGAAGTATATTTTATTACAAATACTCATGTATTGTAATGTTTTATGTCTAATGAAGGTTCGAGTACAAGTTCTTACACTGCTGATTAAACAGTGTAGCTGTTCACTTGAGGACGTGGCTTTTATGCAGTGAATTACACGTCAAACTGTGTTCTGTTTACTGAAATCTGAGAAGTCAATTAGTATCATCAGCCTACAGGTATACTTACATGAGGGTGGTTGTTGTGGTGCATCATTGTTTTCAAACAATAACAAATTATGAATGAATATATTTAAAATCAATACTGTTGATATTTTAGGTGAAATTCTAGTTAGTACAATTGATTTCCAATAGTTCAATCCAACCTCTAAACTTAGATAAACATTCTTCATCAAAAAATACCCTTAATCACTGCATAGTGATTGATGATTCCGTTAGTAAATCGGATTATGTCTGTCTGTCTGGGTTCAACATAGAACTTGGCACCAAAAGGCAGCAGTTCGAGTTGCCACGTTCCAAATTGCACACAAACGTAGACAAGAAAGTGAGTGAAGAGAATCAATACAAATTTGACAAATATAAGAGTGAAACAGAATGAGCAATGGTAGAAAGGAATATGAAAGATTACAGAGACTGAATACATCTGCGTAAGTCATTGACAACGATTTTGAGCCATGTCACCTATTGTCTCCAGTCATTGATTCTTAGAGTCCCGAGGGCCCCAACCCGGAAGTCTGCATCTCCCTACCTGACTCAGTTTAACTGTCAAGGATTTCATGGATTGATGAGGCCATGTTTTTGTTTGGCCACCACTTACTCTTTCTTACTTCCAACCTGCACCTATATCAGCTAGTAATGCCCGTGGGGGTTGGAGGCGATGGCTAGGCATGCGCAGCACGTGACCTAACCATCTCAATCTATGTAACTTCATAGCCTTTTCGAGTGATTTTCCCTCTTTGCCCAACACTCTACGCCTAACGTCAACGTTACTTACCTTATTATACCACCTAACGTGAGAAAGAGATCGTAAACATCTGTGGTCAAAAACAGACAATCTCTTCATGTCTTCCGCTCTCAATGGCCACGTCTCACTGCCATAGAGAAGGACTGAGCAGTACACACGTCCCTTGGTTGACAGCCGGATGTCACGCCTGCTCCAGAGATGGTGTAAGTTAGCGAAAGCAGCCCGAGCTTTCTGGATCCGTGCTGAGATTTCGTCACCAATCAATCCGTTGGTGCTGATACAACTTCCCAAATAGGTGACGTGGTCAACATGTTCTATCACTTCACTCCCTATCACTAAGCTAGGAGTTGACGTAGTCTAGTCCTGTAGCAGCATCTTACATTTTACAGAGGTGAATCGCATTCCAAACATACGAAGGTTGTTGTTCAAGGTGTTCAGAAGACTGCATTTTGTCAGCATCCTCTCCTAACAGGACTATGTCGTCTGCATATTCTAAGTCCATAAGACTATTCCCTGGTAATAAGTCGATTCCTAAGTCGTTAAGTTCAGTTAAGGATACTTCCATTAGCATATCTATGATGAAGTTAAACAGAAAAGGGGAAAGTGGACATCCTTGACGGACACCACTGGTTGTTATCAATTCAGGTGAGAATTCGGATTAAAGACTGAGCATCTCTTGGTGCTAATAATGTCATGAGTTTGTATTTCAAATAAATAATCTACTCACTTCTTGCTCTTCTCTTAAACAGTTGCATCTGACTAATCTGATTGGATTGGGTTTTAAAATAGTATTTTTAATTTCACTAATATTTAAAGGCGCGTCAGTGGTTTAGTGGTAGAACACACTAGCCAACCACTTAAATGGTCCGGGGTTCGATCCCCAGCCAACGCAGAGCTTTACATCGCTCAGCCGCCAGTAAGTCCCGTATAGAAGGAAGGTTGGGAATGAGGTTGGCAAACCCATCCCACAAAAACGCCACTACTACTGAAACTTCAAAGCTCTAGCTTGAAGCTCTATGTTCCACTGGGAACAAAAATGAATTGAGTTATAATTAATTCAATATTTAAAGAGTGAATTTCTATGCTCTACTAAGTTTGAACAATGAACAACTGAAAGACAGCTGAAGGCTTTTAACACAAAATAATATGAAGTAGTCCTGAAAGTGTATGAATTTCTATATTAGCTGACCTATTTTTCCCTTTCGTCAGTTAACAACAACACTTTGTGTACATTGGTTAGTTCAAATAACTTTTGTTGAAAAGTTGTTCGTTGTTTTTACTTTTGTTTTCACAATACAGTGAATATGATAACAGACATGTTGTGAGAATGATTAACTCCACCATGTCTTAGTAATATATCTGGTTTATTATTATATCATTTATTATTCCCTTAGGTAGGTTCCTAGTAGAATTTAGGGCTTCAACAACACATCTGCATTTTCTTCTGTTCTCTGCCATCCTCTTCAGCTGCATCCACGATTGCCCATAATCTCTCCTCTCTCCCATATCACCCTCTCACCGACTACCCACTCCATTCGAGCAGTGACTTGCATTGGGTGCGATGCCATTCGATGGTTTCCTCAATGTATGCCTGATCCATCTGCATTTTCTCCTACATATTTGTCGAACGATAGGCTCTTGGTTGGTTTGTTGCCAGTCAGAATTTCTTGTTACTAATTCTTTCTGGCCATTTGATCTTCAGTATGGAGCAGGCGAAGGCAGCTGTTGATAAAAGTCTGTGACCTGTTGCAAATCCTTTTGGTGACACGCAGTGCAAGTTTCTGACCCATATAGAAGAGCTGACTGTCGTAACATTTGGGTTGAAAATCCGGATCTTGTTCCTTATGCTGACTGAGTGCAGAAGATTTTCAAACTGGTTTCAGGTTGATGAACGCGTATCTTGCCTTTCCAATTCTGGCTGACTTTGACCTCTTCATCCGTCCCAACTGCCTGTAGTTAAAACGATGCTTCTTAGATAAATGAAGGAAGTGACGTCTTTCAACTTTCTCCTGTTGGAAGTGATTGTTACCTGTTGTTGTTGGTCGGTGGGTCGCTTCATCACCTCTGTATTCTCTATGTCCACGTGATGTTCTGTCTTTGCTGCCTGCTTCTTCTATCAACTTGTTGGTTTTCTCCTGTAAGTCTTCAAGTTTGTGTGACATATGACATAAATCATCTGGGAAATCCAGATCTGTTAGAGTCTTCTTATCGGTCCAGTGTATTCCTGTCTCCTCGCTGCCCACAGTCTCACGCAAAACCCAGCCCATCAGAATTAAGAACATCATCGGTGATAATAGGCGGGTAGCCTTGTCTTACTCTTGTATTCACTTCGAACGCCTCACTGAGTTTTCAGTTGTTGATCACCTGACACGTGGCATCGTCTATAGCCAGTCGTTGAATGAGGCTGATAAAGATTTGGGCACTGCACGCTATAGTGCTGAAGTGGTTTCCAAGTTACTTCTTGGTCAACGCTGTCGAAGGCCTTTTTGAAGTCGACGTTGAGGTAGAGGTTTGACTGTCATTCTATGTCTAGTTAGTTTACCTAAAACAGACTTGATATTTGAAGAACAGAACTGACTGCTCATGCTCTTGGCTGGCTGAGTCATACATATTGTGTGAGTTGGTGACACCAACCAGTATGACTGAGACTAAAGTCGCTGGATATGGATTTGAACACTGAGTCCATTGGTGGAAAGTTCACTGCTTAAGGCAATAAGCTGCATCCCCTCACTTAATAGTCATTCAGTGGAGGATTTTTTTTAAACTTTAATTTTTCTTCATCTAATCTGGAAATGTTACCATATTCGGTTTATAAGAAGAAACTTTGAAAAGAATTGCGGTCATTGACTACTTTCCTCTCCAAATAGCTGATATCATACAACTTATCTGTGTTTACCATAGACCTGATGTGTAACAGATTGTCAAATCAATGTGTTTAATTCAATTTAGATTTTTTTTTCCCGTCGATTAATTGGACTGAAGTGCTCGGTTTCAGGTTGACATGTCGGCTTCTTGTGCAGATGCTTCTACGATGTCTGATCATTTAACTTGAAGTCAGTTGGTGGATAGTGATTATCGAGCCTCGGTGGGAACACCATCACTCACTGGAGAATGCAGGTACATCTATATGACGAGTCCAAAATAGGACGAAATACGCATCCTGGACTCCACTGCTACTCGCTATTCACCAATTGACTTCAATGTGTTGTTGTTCAGTCAACCTCAATTAACCAGAATAAATCTTTTATGTATCAGGTTAAGAGCCACACATGTCATGTGATAGATGGTGATACCACCCTACGTGTATAAAATTCTCATGTGATGCAATTAAGAACGCATAAGTCAGCAGAGAAACCTCTTTTCGTAACTTCACTTCAGAGCTGTACTGTAGATTAATGACAGAGGTTACTGTCAGTTAGTAATGAAGGAAATCAAAATGCATAGATAATAACTAAGTTTAAAAAATTAAGAGTAATCTTACGTAATCAAGAGGATTGAAAATATCTTACGAAAAATGAAAAGGACTAAATAGAGTTTATTGTATACGTAGATATCCAGAAAAGCAAAAAAGGAAGAAATTAATACTAAGGACATGGCAGTAAAGAAGGTTGGACAAAACATTTATGAACACGCAGTTTAGGTTTCTCCTTATGGATTACCAAGGTTCCGCCTGCATAAAGAAGATGTAGGCGAAATCCTTCGGAACCTCTTCGTCGCACTTTATATGCAATCTGAAAGTAGTCACTATTGCTACTATGTGACCGGAAGTAATAATGCACTCCAAAATTGAGTTGTTTACTCTTCTACGTTCTCCTCTTGATAAGCATGTTGGTAAGTATTCATCAGCGAGACTAGGAAGTGTCATTTTTACTATCTTTTATTTTCAAGAGTTTGGTATGTAAGGATTACATTTGTTTATATGAGTTTGACCACAGATTGATATCAGTTAAAGAACGATTGAAACCATCAGGGAGTACTGGACAGCTGTTTCATCCTGGTTTTGGGAATCATTGGCAGTACGCACCCACTGAGGTTTGAACCCAGGACCCTCGAATCGGGTCCCAGTGGCCGAATGGTATACGAGCTTGCCTTGAAACAGGAAGGCCCTGGGTTCGAACCGTGGCGGTGGGTGCGTACTACTGGTGGTTCCCAAATTATCTTTTATGTTTTGCAAGCTGTTTTCAATCCTTTGTTCTTGTGTTTCTTATCAATTACTCATCACTCAAATAAATGGCTGTCGCCTCTCTTGATTACGTAAAACTATTCCTAATTTTTCAAACATACTTATTACTCGTATACTTTGATTTGTTCTTTTTTTACTAACTGACAGTAACCTCTGATCTCTGTTGTCGTTTAACATTTTGAACACAATATTCAGTGAAGAAACTATTTTCAAGGAATTTATTATCAGGCTACAGAGTCGTATATATTTGGTTTTTTATATTCACAAAGTATATCGTGTGAGGAAATTTAAACAAATTTGTGAATACATAAAATAATAATAATAGTATGAAATGCAATGAAAATATTTGTGGTTATTATCATAGTTAAATACCAAGTGTCAGGTGGCAAAACAATTAATGTTATATAGAGAATAATTCATGGGATGTATAGCTGTTGGAAGGAGGTGTATAATTTTAGGGTTATTAGTCAAAGATAAAGAGAAATTTGATAAGATGGAATTCAACATGGATACGAGAACATATGCCAGCATGGTTTTACAAAGGAGAAAGGAAGGGTGTGCGAATCTCTTCTCTAGAACACTTGATCGACTTTTGTCAGTCTAGTAACCGTGACCATGATTTTAAGGTCATCTGTCGAATTCATGCTAACTTGCCGTATTTTCGTCGTTATAGACTTCTAGAGACAGTGGAGGCCTTAATCATTCATGAATTTAAATCAGACCTTTTCGTACAAAAGAACTATGTAAAATCTCTATTTCTACCTTGACCTTAGAGCGATAGACATTTATTTATTAGCATTTTGTTTATTTAGTTAATCTAGCTAATCTGTGTGCCTTTCCCTCATTACTACGATTATCATTATTGTTATTATTATTACTGTTCTCATTTTGAATTGTTGTCCCACTTTTCATTCTAAATCCAAAAATGGCTTTACAGTGTTGAATTCTATCTTATAAAATCTCTCATTATGTTATGTAACTCTTTATATTTGCCTAATAACCCTAAAATTATACATATCCTTCCAACATTTATTTGTTTTCCTTCATGTTCCCCAGTGGAACATAGGGCCTCAAGCTAGTGGCTTGAAGTTTCTGTAGCAGTGTTTATTTTTACAGGATGGGGTTGCTAGTCTCATGCCAAACCTTTCCTCTTTACCAGAATTATTCCTGGCTCAACGAGGTAAAGGAGTGCGTCGGCCGGGTATCGAACCCCGGACCATGTACATGGTCGGCGAGCGTTCTAACCGCTATGCCACCGACGCACTTCCAACTTTTATACATCCTATAAATTATTCTACCTTTGACATCAATTGTGTTACCACCTTGATATAAGAATAAAACTTGTGCACTGTGGTAGAGTGTAATTCCATTATGGGTAAATTTTATTCTCATAAAGTCTTACAGTGTTATACAGTAATGTTACTGATGACGTTTCGAGCACAATTTATTGCTTATAATCATATCAAGGTAATCACACGACTTCCTAAATTCATTTATATAATTCCGTTGTTTTTCACTTGATTTTCACTTGATTTGATTGGTAGTAGTATTTTCCATATTTCGGGTATGAGTGATGATTCATTCCTATTGCATGTGTTGGGTGTAGATTCGATGAACAAGGATTCAGTAATCAACCTCTCTCGCTCTCCACCTACCTAGATTACTTTTTAGAATTTTAACCCTCTCCCACCCTATTGTGTGGTTGTGTGTTAATGCATGCATTGCAATTGCTGAGCTTTTTTCTAAATTACTTATCTTCTGTGGGTCAACCATTCTTACCTTAGCTAAATTCTTATGTTCTGACGATCTGACTACCCCTGACCTACTAGTTTGACCTATATAGTTGACCTCACAGTCATTGCAGGGTATTTTGTAAATTATATTATTTTGTGCAACCGGTTCCCTATATTAGTTTGAAGAGAGAAAGAATGAACATGTTTGCAGGATAATACGAGCTCGTTTTATTTCGTGGATTCTCATCAACCGCATACATCCTAAACAAAATCAAATTATAGGTTTCAAGAAAGTTGTGGAACATACTTTTTCATAATTACTTTGAGTTATAGATAGAAGGGACAAGGAACATAATTCCAGAATTTGATGTAGGTAGACAGGTTATTCGGTGTCAAAAACAACTAATTATATATAGTGGAATTAGATAAGAGGGGTAAGAGTTCAGATTTCTATTGGAAAACAACACAGATTGGTTAGAGGCATATTACGGGGTCAGGGTCAGAGAACAGAGTAAATTTACACATCTTGTGGTGGAGAGTTTAAGAGGGTGGGGGTGAATAGTGAAGTAACATTTATAACTTAAACAGACAAACAATTAAGTAGATTTAGAAACTTGAAGGTCAAAATTGAATAGAATGTTACGTAACAAAACAAACACACAGGCATACTGACAGAAAGGCAAAACAAAAATAAAATAAAATAGAGTTAGGGTTACCAAGGTAGTGAAAGATTAATCACACTATCTTTCTGTATACAAAGGTCTGGTCGAAATCTCTTGATAGCAATGGCTTCTGCGAAGCAAAGTAGCCGTGGGTTTCTTTGAGTATTGATTATTTTGAAGGCTTGGCTGATTTCTACTGTGTGTCCTGTGTCAATTAAATGTCTGGCGATTGCACTTGATAACACTTTTCTCCCTTTTGTACGGAGACTCTTAGGAATGTGCTCAGAAAATCTAGTAGATGCTGTCCTCTCAGTCCTTCCTATGTACTTGCTTTCGCAGGTGCACGTGAATTGGTAAGTGCAGTTGGAGTTGACGTGAGTAGGGTACTCATCTACTTTTGACTCAGTTAACGAGCACACAGTGTTGTGTGTGTGTTATTTTGTCTAAATGGGTCAACGGGGTCCTTAACCTACAGAGCTTGTCCCTGAGTGAGTTTGTAGGTTTAAATGCCACCCTAATTCCTGCTTTATTGGGAATCCTACGTAGGGTCTCAGATGTCCCCTCTTTATATGGTATAACTGTAGATGCCTGATATTCTCTCTTATTTATGTTATTATTACTAGTTTCACAATTCTTTTTTATTTTTCTTTTGGCCTTTTTCAATCTTCCTAAGTGTGTAACCACCTGACACTTGGTATTTAACTATGATTGTGATTACAAATATTTTAATTGCATTTCATACTATTATTATTATTATTTTATGTATTCACAACTTTGTTTTAATTTCCTCACAGGATATACTTTCTTAATATAAAAAACTACATATATATACGACTGTAAAGCTTGATAATAAATTCGTTGGAAAGAGTCTCTTCACTGAATCAATTATTAAATTAACATTGCATGTGTAGACCCCTTAAATAACTGTACAGCTTTGAATTGAGGTTACGGAAAGAGATCTCTTTTTGCTTCTGACTAATGTGTTTTTGATACCACCCAAGTTGTCCAGGCTGAATTAGGTAAAGTGGAACTTCAGTTTTGTGATTCATTAGTAGCAAATCAGGCTCGTAAGCCAATGGGGCAACATCTCGACGACTGTCAAAATCAAGGAATGTTGTTGTTGTTGTTCCCTTGGGTTCCTAGTGGAACATAGGGCTTCAACAGCACGCCTCCACTTGCTTCTGTCTTCTGCTGTACTTTTCACCTGCATCCGTGTTAGTCCATTCTGTTTCAACTCTTCTTCACACGATCTCCTCCATGTCACCCTTGGACGTCCCACTTGTCGCTTCCCTTTCGGGTTCCACTCGAGAACTGACCTGACGCGCGATGTCACCCAACGGCCTCTTCAGCGAGTGTCCAATCCATCTCCACTTTCTCCTGAATATTTGTCGGGCGATTGGTTCTTGTTTTGTTTGTTCCCATAGTTTCTTGTTTGTGATTCTTTCCGGCCATCTGATCTTCAGTATAGAGCGAAGACAGTTGTTGTTGATAAAGGTCTGCAACAGGCTGTTGGAAATATTCTTTGTGACCCGTCAAGTTTCTGATCCGTATAGAAGAACTGACTGACTTGACGTTTGTATTGAAAATCCGAATTTTGTTGTTGATGTTGAGTGACGAAGATTTCCAGATTGGTTTCAGGTTGATGAATGTGTTTCTTGTCTTCCCGATTCTCGATTTGACATCTTCGTCCGTTCCTCCTGTAGTTGAGACAATGCTCCCTCGATAAGTGAATGAAGTAACCTCTTCCAAATCCCTCCCGTTGATGGTGATTGGCGCTGGATGTTGCTGCTGTTATTGGTGTTTGTTGGTTATTTTCATAACCTCCGTCTTGTCTATGTTCACTTGGAGTCCTGTCTTTGCTGCTTCTTCAGGGAATAGTTGAATTTAAACCTGAGAAGTCTTTCAAAGGAAGCATAAATTTAGTCAAGTGTTATGATTAGCACTCTTCATCTTCCATTTTTTTCGCCTGAATTTATGCTCTTGAATAAACGAAAATGTGTTCTTGTGTGTGTGTATGTGTATAGTGAAAAAGCATTTTCTTGCGGCATTCAGAATAGATTACAGTTGCTTGATTATCAAAGTAATTAGATGTCACTCTGTAATTTTTCGAACGTGTTAAAATATTCGTTCAAGAAAAAAACCTATCAGTTTAAGAATACAAAGGTGAAGGTGTGGGGGCTAGGGGTAGTCGTACACATTACAATTTGATAGTTAATCTATGTGCTTATTATAATACACAGTTTTACCATTTTCGTTATTTCATGTCTTATTTTTTATTCAAAAGTATTATCAATAAAAATGTATTTGTGAATGACATATGATTTACCTTTCAGGTTGTAATTCTTTCTGAACTTTCAAAAACCTCTAAAACAAACTTTAATAAATCAATAAACACTTCTCAACATCCTGTTTATGTGCATAGTAGAAGTAATTTGACAACAAACTCCCCACAGGAGTTATTAATTCATCCAGAATCACAATTATATTTATCATCCCTATATCATCCACCGCCATGTTTAATTTTTATTGAAGCTATAACAAGTAGTGATTATAATTTTCAATGTATTACTAATGGTACAACTGATCACAATAGTAATAATGATAATAATAATAATGATCGTATCTTTATGCGACATGTCTCTATTATCGATCAGGCATGGTTATCACTTACTGAAAATATGCCTACCCTATCTAGTCATCAGAATAATACTCAATCAGTAGAAAAGCAGGAGCAACAGGAGCAGCAACAACAGAAGAAGTGCAAGAAGAAGAAGCTAAGCATACTCAATTGTGTACCGCATCAAAGTAAGAAGCGTTGTCCTCCGTCTGACTCGGTATCATCATTATCACAATCAACGTCAGATTATCCAGACTGTAAATTAAATAATAGTAATAACAATAATAATAGCATGAATATTAATAATAATAATGGTAATAATAGCACACATGTTAATACGAACACAACTATACCAAACGGTCATCCTGAATCAAACTGTTCACCAAATCCATTGACTTCATTCAATCCTCTAACTCGTAAACAGAAAAAACGTCTTGCTAGACGTCGGAAACTGAATTTAAATCGTCAACTTGTAAATAATTCAGCTTGACACGATGAGAATATCTATGCTTTTTTTCTAATTTTTTTTATATTTTCTTGTGGAATATATATATATATATATACATCTATTTGTATCCTTATGTACAAGATTCTTCCTGAAATGATTTCTGTATTCAGTCTTTTTCAAAACAAGACAGCTTGTGATGTGCAAATAACACTTTTTTGTATTAATGTATACATAACTCATGCATTCTTCTTTTATTATATAAATATTATGAAATAAACTATTCTCAGTGATAAAAATGAAATCTTCCGTTCTTTCATCATGGGAACTTTTCAAAAAAATCATTATTTCTGTTTTTTTATACGCCTAAGGATCACACATCTAATAGTCGTGTGCTGTGGTGTGCGCACATTCTGTGATAAACCATAGTTCTGTCTTTTGTGGTTAGGGTTTATGATACTGCTTACACACCTATCCAACCTTTTGTTGTTGGAGGGAGAGAGAGCCTGTTAGCTGACTGGCTAAATCCAGGGAATTGTAACTCTGCCTAGTCAATTCATCTTATAAATTTGAGCATACAATTGGTTGTCTTTGGAAAATTTCCTGGTGAAGCAAGAATAATAAATTGTGTCAAATAAAGGTTATATTCGAGTGCGAGTAGTGTATATATGTCCTAATAATGGTTAAGACTTGCCCCTATTGGCTTAAACACTTCATTTTCAGCCAGTGGATCCTGGGCTTTCAAGTCCTGATCCACTTATTTTAGCCTGGAAATTGAGTTCAAATACCAATCTAATAATTAACAGAAATATAGTCAGTTGGTGAAAATAAAAAAGGAATATGAATTGCATATATTATGAAGTCTATATGTAGGTGAATATAAGCTAAATCAATTCTGCTCAATGTGTTTATAGTAAATTTGAGATTTGAGAAGGATGGAATTGTAGGGATTGGTCAAGTGCAAATTATGAATGGGTTTATGTTAGATGGTGATATGAATGCAATTGAATGGGAATGATTCACAAGACCTTTTGTTGTGCAACATGAAAATTAGATAGAAATCCAGAAGAGATTACATTTCAAACTTGAAAATTGAAAACTAGTATAGAATCGATATATATCCACAGTTACAAAATAAACAGGGTGCATTAGCTGATGGTAGGGGGTGAAATACTATCATTCCTGAAAAACTATCACATTCTGATAGATAGTTAGACTTCGAATCATTAGCAGTAGTAATGTAAACATTGACCGTAGTTTCAACTGTTAGATCTTCGTCGCTATCCAACATTAGCTGGAGAGATCATGGGAAACCGGGGGGTGGAGAGAGTCAGCACTGGGCGGCTGTTTTGGCTTATTTTAGGACTCTTCATTAGCTCCCCCTGGTTTCCAATGGACTTTAGCTGATGTTGATTCGTCACGAAAATCTAACGATTGAAATTTGCCCTAAACCCCCACAAATCTTATATTCTGAATATTACTCGCCAAATCACTGATGACTATTGGATGGGTTTCCTAAAGCTGCATTGAGAAGTAGCAACCAGTGGGGTCCATCGTATCCAGGTATGAAGTCTATGCTTATTGGAGGCATCGGTGAGGGCAGTCGCTTATCACGAATTGACAAAGTTAGAATTCAAGGATCACTGGATTCCAGTCCGAGTGGTTGAATGGTCAACGAGCTTGGTCTCGCAAAGAGATACTCACAGTGTTGTGGGTGCGCACTACTGAAGAGTCCCAAAGTGGGACGAAATGACTATCCAGTGCTTCCTGATTTTTAATGACCTATCTAAATAATGTTGGTCCCTGAAAAAATCCAATAATTAAAATTAATCCCAAAATCAGAATGACCATAGAAATTAAAGCCGCTGTGGAAACGACACCTGAAACCCTATATACGATGACATTTAGACCGAATTAACCACTCAGCTACACACCTTGTCGGCCTAGTGATCTCAGTGAGACAGTATAGTCAAATTTACTGAATACCATATAATGAATATGATATCAAACAAGTAGAGGGCTGTAATTTGGTTTATTTAAACAGAAATTTTGTTAAGACTAAATTGCTATGCAAGTACTAACACAATCATATAGGGCGGAGGAGTAATTTAGTTAGGCAGAAAGAGAGGTTAGTCATTAAATCTTTATTCATGGAATTAACAACCAATAGATGTGTTAAGAGGAACGCAGCACCAACCCTGCATATATGGAAAAGTTTATCAAAAACAGGAGTATGTAAAGCGTGTTAAGAATTCCCTGAAATACATTCACGTTATTACGAGTAACAAATTGTGTTTGAAATGTCATCCACCGATTAATACTGTTTGTTATATCTAGTAAACTAATATGAAGTTTCCGAATTTCATTATGACCTGATATTGGTTAGAGAACCATTGAAAAACCTGGGAGTACTGGACAGCAGAAGTTGAAATTTATCGGGCATTAGATTGGATCCCAGTGGCTTAATGGTCTATGAGCTCGTCTTAAAAGCAGAAGGTCCTGGGCTCGAACCCCGGTGAGCGCGCACCGACGAAGAGTCCCAAACTTGGACGAAACAGCCGTACAGTACTCCCAGCTGGTCTTCCAGTGGTTTTCTAACTGACGTCAGCGGATGATAAAATCCTGAAACCACTTCGACATTAAATGAGGTTATCTTATGTCACAGTGCCCATATTCCACTGATATAATCATCAGATTTCGTTCAGTCAAATCCTACTTAACTTCTTGTGAATATACAAGTTAATAGTGGAAGTGTAATTAATTAGATATAAAGCTACTTTTAGTCAGTAGACTCAGGGTTCTGATCCTACTCAACCTCCTTTGGCACAGGTACTTGGTCGTATCAGTGTCTGTGACTCAATAAGCGTACATAATAACTCGGTACATCAAAAGTGTTTTCTAAGTGACTGAGTTTTGAGTATCAAGTCATAATAAACCTAAAGCTATGAAAAATTCCTATTTCATTAAATTAAGAAAACACAAGTTAGCAAAGAGATCTTTTTTCGTAACTTCACTTCAAAGCTGTACAGTTAAATATACTCAGTGTAGATTGACAACAGAGGTTACTGTCAGTTAGTAAAAGAAATAAATCAAAGTGCATGAGTTGTAACTATGTTTGAAAAATTAAGTATAGTCTTACGTAATGAAGAGGGTTAACAACTGCTTAGTTGAGTGACGAATAATTATTTAGAAATAATGATAAAAACGAGAGGACAAAGAATTGAAAATGCGTTACAAGAAGCTTAAAACAGACTACATTGAGCTTGTTATACAGTTATTCAGGAGAATAATTAGCTATAAGGCCATGGTAGTAAGAGAGATGGGATAAAACGTTTCTTAATACAAACCTCAGGTTTCCTCTTATGGATTACTAAGGCTTCGGCTGCATGAAGGAGATGTAGGCGAAATTCTTTCGAACGACTTGGTCGTACTTTAAATATGACTGTGAAAGAAGTCTCTACTGGTGCTGCATGACCAGAATTAATAATGCACTCCAGAATTGAGCTGTTGACTCTTCCACGGTCTCCTTTTGACAAGCATGGATTTGTCTAGGGAATGTCTTACTAGTACGGCTTATGTACATAGCTCCACAGGAGCAAGTGAATTGGTAAATGCACACTGCATTTACTAACAGCGGGATCTTGCCTTTGACTTACTGATAAACAAGTGCATGTGTGGAGAAAGTGAGGCGTAAAAATGCAGCGAAGAGAGATCTTTGAACTGCTGTCAACAGGCGGCTTTCGAGAATCTCACTAATTACACCTCCCTTGAATTTCAGATATACAATTAGATGTTTCTTCGCTACATCCAGGTTTTTCAAATGGTTGGTCTTTATCTTTAGATGTTTGTCAATGAAGTAGGTTGGATATGCATTTTGATCAGAGTATTTCTGAAGGATTCCTGTTCCTTATCCGATCTGCTTCCAATGCATTTTCGGTAGATTCTCGTCGCAAGAGAGGTGATGAGATTTCATTTTCTGTTTATTGGGACAAAACCTTGGTATTTTGTCAGCTGTTAGTTCCAGTCTGGCTTGTGGTAGACTGATCTTTGTAGGCTTCCATCTGATCGTCTTGTAGGCTGGATACTTAAAAAGGACAGTTTACCTTCTGATTCCGCTTGAATTTGGCTGATTGATGGGCGTTGTTGAATATTTCCAGGATTTTGAATATGTCAGTATTTTCATCGGTTATGATAAATATATCATCCATATGCCGCTTGTAAACTCCTAACCATTTGATTACTGGTAAGAGGATATTTAACTCACTGAATAAAAACTGAGCATTGAGTCCGCATCTCAGCGTTAATTCCCTGATATGCTTAGTGGGTATACCAATATTCAGATTATTTGAGTCAACAAACTCACACAGTTTCGGTTAAGGAGATATAAATGAATTAGGAAACTACCTCCAACGAAGACACAGCTGTCCCAGATACACTCACTTACATAACTGAATCCACGAATTTAAATGTCTCCTTCAAGGAATGCTTCTCCATTAGCCTTCTTACAAGTTGCAGTTTGTGCGCTAAACAGCATACTACAGGATGATAGGGAGATCTGGACATTAATGTCAGTAAAACGATTGAGCATTGTGGAATACATCAAATAAAGTATAATTATATTTGAATAGTTTATACTCAGTGATAAGTTTTGTTCTTGGTAATATTTCGAGCAAAATTACCAAGAACAAAATTTATCATTGTGTGTAAACTAATCAAATATAATTATACTTTATTAGATATGGACATGTTTTATAACGGATCAGGAGTAACCCCTCTTTTTGGATTTTAGGTAAGCCATATAATGATTAATTTTTTGAGCCAGACGGTTGAATTTTTTTCGTAGGTTTATGTTATAATAACTGATTCCTGTTTCATTTTCAGAATGATCTTAGTTAACTTTTTCTAGATAGTGCTGTTAGAAGACAGAGATCGTCTGAAAAATGTGATGTATTAGTGCAAAACATTTCGAACAATTGCTGAAATACATCACATCCAGACAATCTCCATCTTCTAATAACACTATCCAAATTTCCAAAAAAGGCTAATTGTTTTAACTACTCTTCACCAGCCTAGTTTGAGCATCTATCATTGCTGAGTATTTCAGTCATCCCTCGAATATAACCTGATCTGTCCAATAAAACTATCCCATTGCCTTTATCTGGACGTGAATTGAATAGGTCTTTATTTCTGAACAGTTGTTTTAATTCAACGATATTTTGTTTGATCCGAAGTCTGTGACGCTTCTTTTTTGAGTTTATCGACTTCTGGCAACATAAAAATACAGGTGACTTGAA